CGAGAAGAAAAAAAGGTACAATTTGAGAAGTAAATCTGCACATAGGTTTGGAAATGGCAGGTGTTCATGGAGATTCAAGAACATAATCAAGGAAAGACCCAACTTAGGAGAAATTTCCTGACAGAACAATCAGTGGAAAGACTTGCCTCCAGACATTATGGGTGCTCCATCCCTGGAGGTTTTTAAGAAGAGATTGGGCAGCCATTTGTCTGAAAAGATATGGGGTCTCCTGCTTCAGCAGGGGGCTGGACTAGAAGATCTCCAAGGTCCCTTTCAACTCTATTATTCTATTAGAAGGCATTTGACAGGTAAAAGGTCGGATCATTTTTCAGAGGTTACCAAATATTGATGTGAGTTTATAATCTGGCAGCAATTCTTTCGTTTTTCTTTTCATAGTTCAAGCTGTAGGCAACCTTGGCTCTTTTGTGACTCATGGACTTCAAGTCCCAGAATCCCTGAGCCAGCATGGCTCAGCTTGGAAACTCTCCCTTTCCCCTCAGCATGGCTGGCTCAGGAATTCTGGGAGTTGAAGTCTACGAATCATAAAAGACCCAAGGTTGCCTACCCCTGGTCTAGGGCATTGCAAAAAATTTAAAGCTGATAGAATAGGGGCATTCCACCATTGTGCTGCTTCACCATGGGATGGGTAGCATATAAATTTAATAATAGTTTTCTTCTCCACATTACTATGAATCAGAAAAACTTACTGAAAAGTCATCGGTCCAGCCTGCAGAGAACACCGATTTGGCGAATGATCCCCAAGTTTTCGGAAAAGCTGTTTGGCTTGATTGTGATATTCTTGGAAGTTCCGATTTGACTTCAGAGGAGGAAATATATATAAAAAAGCTTGTCATTCAAAAGCCAGAGTAGAAATTGTACTGAGAACAGCAGCAAGTTGGAGAATTCTACGGTAATTTCCTGTGAGTCCCCTGGACTGCAAGGTGTTCAAACTGGTCAGTCTTAGAAGAGATCAACCCTGCCTGCTCTTTAGAAGGCCAGATCCTGAAGTTGAAACTCAAATACTTTGGCCACCTAATGAGAAGGAAGGATTCACTGAAGAAGGGCCTAAGGCTGGGAAAGATTGAGGGCAATAGAAGAAGGGGACGACGGAGAATGAGGTGGCTGGATCAAGTCACTGAAGCAGTAGGCGTGAGCTTAAATGGAATCCAGAAGATGATAGAGGACAGGAAGGCCTGGAGGAATGTTGTCCATGGGGTTGCGATGGGTCGGACACGACTTCACAACAACAACAAAAGTGATGGAGGGAAATTACAAACTCTGCTCTTGCAGCATTTAGACGCCTGATCCTAAGTCAAGGACTTCCTGTATTTAGCCAAGAAAAGCAAGGCCCTCTAATTTCGCTTGGTCCTAACAGAAATCTAAGCAAAGAAAATATGCCAGGAATAAAATACCTTTTGTTATTATTCTATTCCTGCAACTCTGCCTAAGGAGGCAAACCCCCCAAATTGCCAGCAAATACAATAGTGGGGACAGAGGGGGGGGGAGATATCAAATAAAACCAAGCAAACTATTTTTCCAAGGCTCGTAAAAGCAAGCCTTGCCGCCTTACTGGCTCAGAATGGGCTTTAAAAAAAACCCTAATAAAACCGCAGGCAGAAACCCATCCATTCTTTCCAATAAAAACGGTCACCTGTTTTTCTTAAAACAACCGCGCGCCTTAAGCTCATCGCAGGTGCGCTGCAGAGCAACCGAGGCGGCTGAGCAATTGGTGTGTGTGTGTGTGTGTGTGTGTGTGTGTGTGTGTGTGTGTGTGTGTGTGGAGCCGCGGTGTGTGTGTGTGTGTGTGCGTGTGTGTGTGTGCAGGACGCCCCTCGCCCCCTTCCTCCCCCCCCACTTACCTGCTCCGTTTCTTGCATGGAGGCAGCCAAAAGTAGCCCGTCTTGGACCCGGCTGATCATGGTTAGCAGAACCATGTTAGCGGGAGGAAAGGGGGCGAGAGAAAAAGGAGGGTCTTCAGCTCAGAGCGGGGGGGGGGCAGCGTCCCGCCCCCCGCTCCTCTTCCTCACCTCCGTCCCTCTGTCAACTCTTGCAGCCGGCCTTCAGTCTCCCGCTGACGTGGCTGATCCGGCGGGGGCGGGGGGGGAGGTAGAAAGGGGCGGAGCGAGAGAGCCGAGAAGTTTTACTTTTGCAAAGTTGCGAGGACGCCTGTGTGTTTCCGTGTGTGTGTGTGTGTCTGTAGGAAAACCGCAAGTTTCCCTCCCGATCCTTCCCTTCTTCTCCGCGTCCCCTGGAGCCTCGGGGGTCGTCCTTTGGAAAATGCCGTTATTGCTACAACGGGGGCAAACTGTAGGTTGCCCTGGCGCTCCGCTTGATTGAAGTTGCATTGTTTTCATTGCGCTCGGAATTTTTTTTTTTTTTTGCTTGCGGATCTTGGGAGGCGGCGGAGGGAGCGACGATTTAGTTTACGCAACAATGCGCGCGCCGCTTTCGCTCGTGGAACCCGAAGCCGTTTCCCCGCGCAATGAAAGCTTCAAGTCCAAGTTTAAAAAAAAGAAGAAGAAAAAGGAACGTTCCGTTTGTGACGTCACAATCGCACCCCGCAAAAGGTGTAATAAACCACCCGAAGACGCGAAGGGCAAAATCAAGCTTTTCAACGAGGCAAAGGCCGACCAATTGAACATTTCTGATTGTGTTTCGAGAATATCAAGAAATTAATACTTGACAGCCCTTTAACGATGATCTTCATCCTACTTCGATTTTATCCCCTATCCCCCCACTAGATGCCAGGACAGTCATGAAGTGGGTCAACGCGTGACTGGATCTGTTTTTAATCACCTTTTTTTTTGGCAGTGGTCAGTAAGCAAAACCCCACCCCCACAGTCGTAAAGCAAGTCCATTGTTCACTATGGGCTGTTTTTGCTGAAAACTGGAAGTAAATACTGGTTTTCTGCAAAAAAAAAAATGTCATAGTTTGCAGACACGTGACTGGGATGCAGCAAAAGTGGTTTTGTCAAGCACAAGTAGTCCTTGCTTTACCACCAATTGCTTAGCGACTGTTCAAAATTATGACCAACCATTATGGACATAATGGGTTCATTTTAATGACCATTGCAAAAACGGTTATAAAATTGAGTGTAGTCACATGGTGACTCCATTAATAATCATCCTGATTTACAACCAGAATTCCAGGCTCAATTGTGGCCGTAAATCGAGGACTATCTGCAGCCAGCAATAATCCACAAACAATTCTAATATGTGGCGCGTGCCTCTCTTTACCTAACGGTAAAGGGCTGCCACAGGATATGGTCAAAAAAGGCAAAATGGCAACAATATGATTGAAACTCTGCCTGTTTTAAAATGTGTGTTAACGGGCCACATTCAGATAGAATAAACCTAAATTATTTCAGATGTCCTTGGATAAAATGGTCCACAGAGCCCTTTCATTCTTGTTTACACATCTCTCATTCATGCACATAGATGTAGGAACTAGATATAATTCAGAGTTATGATCAATCCATCACCTTGGTTTGCTATCCCTAAATTAATTCTGTTCATAATCCCAGCTTGTTCTTAAAAAAGAGGAATCCGGGTTCAGATATAATTCTAAGCAAGCCAGCCCTAGTTTATCTGGAACAAAATGAGAATGGCTTGCTTACACCCATACATCACTCAATCAAAACAAATCAGAAGTTAGGCCTTGTATAATTCTTAGCAAACACAGGTGGTGTTTGTTTACCCATTGTTATTCTTCTATTAGGCCAGGGGTCCCCAACCCCTGGGGCACAGACCACTACTGGGCTGTGACCTATTTGGAATGGCCCATGTGAGTGGTGGGCTGGTGATCACACACAGGGCAGCTCAATTTGCACAAGTTGAGTTGTGCCCGCATGCGCATGCATGCTGGCCCACCGCTTGTACAAGTTGGAGCTGGGTGTGCACCCTGGTCCGCTGCTCATGTGGCCTGGTTCCCCTCTTCCCCCCCCCCCCCAGGCCACAAAGCCTCAAAGATTTGGGATCTCTATTGGACAACCTATGGCACTTTAGTTGTCTAGCAGAAAAATAACAATGATATTGTTATATTTTAGAGATATTTCTTTGCCAGATCTCTCAACATCTTCAACAATGGCAGAGCTTTTAATGTACTTTCAAAATTTCTAAAAACCCAGGGAGACATTCAGGGATTTATCTGCCTGGAAGGTAGACCTTATTGAACTATACAGCAATTAAACATTAACAGAGGAAGTATTTTATGACATTTTGTATCGTGGCCTAAATTTTTATGATCGTTTTTATGTCATAAAACATTTAATAAAATTTCCAAATTCCAAATCCACAGGAGTCGTGGGTCCTGGATTTTGGATGCATTCTGTAAGTTAGCCCATTTGAGGTACCTTGGTTAAAAAAATGTTGCCGTATTATGTACCGTTTTGTCCAGTTAAAAGTTCCAGGAATTTTTGATAGACAGCATCACCTGTTTGTTCATTTCTGATTCACTTTCCTGTAATACGCTCACCTGTTCTTGAACTGTCTATGCATCTCTCTCGCACAGAAACACAATACGGTAGCTTCACAACAAAATTTATTACGACTGCGTTAAAGCGCAATTGTGCATGAAGAACGAGAAGCAGTCAACTGCTGCAGGTTTTGTTAGCTTTCATGTGCTAAATATGTTATGGGGAGGGGGAAGTAGCTTAATTGGCAAGAAAATTCAATTATGGTTCCACTTCCAGGCAAGCACAAATGTGCACAGAGAATGTGGAACAGAAGAACAGCACCACAAAACCTTTAAATCTAGATCAGTGGTTCTCAACCTTTTTAATGCCGCGACCCCCAACCGGTCGTAAGTCGAGGACTACTCAACCGGTCGTAAGTCGAGGACTACTCAACTGGTGCAGCACCGTTTGCAGAATGGAACTTTTGGCGGGCTCAGCAGGCCAGAGACAGCCTGGATAATTCCTATTGGCTTTTGAAAGCCAATAGAATTAGACTCTATTCAAGAGAGTCTATTCTATTGGCTTTCAAAAGCCAATAGAACAAAAGGGAGTAGCACAGCTAAGGAAAAGGGGGAAAAAATGGCGGACTGCGTTGTTTGGCAACCCCCGTGAAATGGTCGTTCGACCCCAAATGGGGTCCCGACCCACAGGTTGAGAACCACTGATCCAGATAAATCGGGACAACACCAGCCTGAATTTGGGGAATTATACTCCAAAGGTGTTGGAGTTTGGCAGACTGTAGAATAGGATTTCGGAACATAGGAGGTGCTGAGATATACCTAATATCTCCCATGTTAATTCTAATAGAGATTGTCTCAACCTTGGCGACTTCAAGATGTCTGGACTTCAGCTGGGAATTTAAGTCCACACATTTTAAAGTTGCCAAGGTTGAGAAACATTGCTACAAACAAAAAACTGAATTGCATGCAATACATTGCATTGAATTAGAGTAGGGGGTCTTCAAACTTGGCCCTTTTATGACTTGTGGACTTCAACTCTCAGAATTCCTAGCTACCCAGGCTGGCTGCGGAATTCTGGGAGTTGAAGTCCACGCATCTTAAAGTTGGCGAGGTTGCACAATCCCGTTCTAATGCCTCCCCTTCAAATTTTACAAATTCTAAAACTTCCTATGTGCAGCCAAGTTGTGCATGAACACCGTATTCCCCCCAAACAGGAATACTACGGTATGTAATTTCGACAGCTCTTTTGTTTTGTTCAATATTTGGAATGGGACGTACCTATAGTTTAATTATTAAAGAATTTATCTGGCTGTCCATCTCACAGCAGGGACTCCGTACCTATACATTGTGTGAGAGACTGCCATGGGACCCAAGGTCTGAAAAGTCCCATGACTAAGGAGAAAAAGGAGAAGAAGGCTCTCCAATCTAGGCTTGTGAGCTTCCTCAACACAGTCAATAGGCCACTACGTGACTCAGAATGCTGGTTTGCATGGGTTGATGGCCGGATCCAGCGTAGCCCGCTTGAAGTTCCTAAATAAAACAGGATTCATAATATTTTAAGAATGAGAAGACTATCAACCTGTCTCTTTTTTTGCAAAAAAAAAAAAAAAAAATTGAAAGCAGCTACAGTTATTTTGTTGTTTTCAAATAAGTTCTAAGCTGCTAGACCTGTTGAACTATTTCTCTTAACTCTTACCTTGGATGGCTTTGCATGGGACAATTGGAGTGCTCCAGCTTCAGAAACATTGCACTAAATATCAAATCATTTAGAAAAAATTAACTTAAGAGCTCTTTCACTGCAGGGGCATGTTAGCTGAGATTTTGTGCATTGTGTTTTTGGGATGAACATGCTAAGCTTAAATCCACAGTCTTGTAGCATCGTAAGACTGCCGTATATTGCAAATAGAGATTTTTCCCTCGCCCTTTATGGGCAGTAGGTTCCTTTCCACGCTGCCCCTAAACCAGGGATAGGCAACCTTGGCTCTTTTATGACTCGTGGACTTCAACTCCCAGAATTCCTGAGCCAGCCATGCTGAGGGGAAAGGGAGAGTTTCCAAGCTGAGCCATGCTGGCTCAGGAATTCTGGGAGTTGAAGTCCACGAGTCATAAAAGAGCCCAGGTTGCCTACCCCTGCTAAGCTGTTAAAACCATGGCACCGCTGTGGCTTTTCATTGTCCCTCTAAATACACAGGTACTAATGATTTGCAATCATTTTAGATAATGACCAAAGTTGATAAAGGACTTATGACCATTGCAGCCTCTCTGGGGTCATGTGGTCAAAGTTTGGGTGCTTAGGAACCAACATGTTTACAGAATACATAGTAGTATGTTTGGAAGGGACCTTGGAGGTCTTCTAGTCCAACCCCTTTTACTATTCCGGACAAATGTCTGTCCAATCTCTTCTTAAAAACCTCCTGTGATGGAGCACCCACAACATCTAAAGGCAAGCCATTCCATTACAACAGTTGTAGAGTCCTGGGGTCACACGATTACCTTCCCAGGGGACATCCAGCTAGCAAAGTCAATGAGGAAAAAGCCAAATTTGCTTAGTGACCGTGTGATTTGCTTCGTGACTATGGCAAAAAAAGATAAAATCAGGCAGGACTCGCTTAATGACCATTTCGCTTAGCGACAGAAATGTCAATCCCCGTTATGGTTCTAAGTCGCGGAGTACCTGTACTACCACTATAGGCTTTTGGCAGGGAGGAGGCAGAGAAGGATGGAAGGGGTCTCCATCGAGCATTAGAAAGGATAGCTGTCAACTCTGCTCCCTTCCAGCACTGATGATGTTACCTAGTCTGGTAATGAAACGTCTGCCAGAAAGACACCAAAGCTCAGACAGCATCAAGAACCTCATACATGTCATAGCCAGTAAAAATTAGCCCTTTTGCAAAGCTGGGTTATGCTGGAGTCCTTTTCTCACAAAGCGTGGTACCTATCCTGCACAAAGTTTTCCAACACCAAAGTTTGATTTCTCAGTCTCCACAAACTATACTTTGAGGTCAACCCAGTTCCAGCTTCTGACCACGTCAAAACAATCTTTTTGAGCTCCCAAATGGTGAAGGAAGGCAGAGTTTCATACTCCATGGAGAAAGGAGGGCTGTCTTCCTAGCAAGGGCGGGGCAGCGAGGCCCGGAGGGAGTGCAGAGCGCTGGTCTTCCATCCGGGTTCCTTGAGCTGAGAGCAGCAAATCCAGCAGCCCTTGAATTCCGACCGGGATAGGAGGCTCCGTACGCTGATCCTCAAGACGCTGGCTCTGCAGACGAGGGAGAAGGCGTTAGAGGCCGCCGATAGTCCTTGGCTTACGACCACAACTGAGCCCAACATTTCTGTTGCTAAGCTAGACATTTATGAAATCATCATCATCATTGCATTGGAAGATCTGCAAGAAATATCATTTGCCTGCAGGCAAGAATTGGTGGGACCATAAAATAAAGTCATAGAACAGAGATGACGAAACTTTTAGAGACCGAGTACCCAAACTGCAACCCAAAACTCACTTATTTATTGCCAGGTGCCAGGTGGGCATGGCCCACTGGGTGGGCGTGGCTGTGGTGGTCATGGCAGATTGAGTGGGTGTGGCCAAGGTGGGCGTGATCACCTCGATGTTGCTCATGGGGAGGGACACCTGTGGGGGCCGGGCAGGGTTTGGGTAAATCCAGGGGTCTCTGGCAGGTGAGGCAGTGGGCAGGAGGCTCATCCTGCGGGGCGAGGCAAGGCAAGGTGAGGCAGGGCAGGGGAGCTATTGTCACAGGGCAAGGCGAGGCAGGGGCTGGGGCGGCTGCTGCCTGACACCATCGGCCTCTGCACACAGAGGCTAGCGAGCGCATGGGTGCTGGGATGCATCCAGCCACATGGACCTCAGCAAGTTAGCAGGCAGCTGGTTAAAGAGGGACGGTTGCCATTTCCAGGGCATGACGCACGTGCCCACAGAGAGGGCTCTGAGTGCCGCCTCTGGCACACATGCCATAGGTTCGCCACCACTGTCATAGAAAATGAAAATGTTAAATTGCTCTAGGACTTCAGAATTCAAACAGACAAGCACCCGCCACATAACATCCCAGACTTAACAATTATCGATAAGAAAGACAAAAAAAAAGTCTGGATAGTGGATGTGGCAGTGCCTGGAGACAGCAGAATAGAAGAGAAAGAACTGGAGAAGATTGCACAATACAAAGACCTACCAATAGAAATAGAACGGCTGTGGCAAAGGCAAGCAAGGGTAGTACCAATAGTAATAGGCGTCTTGGGTGCAATCCCAAAACAACTGGAGCACCACTTGAACGCCATTGGCACTGACAAATTCACCATTAGTCAATTGCAAAAGGCAGTCTTACTAGGAACTACTTCCATCCTGCGACGATATCTGTAATACCATCAAACATCCACATCTGCCTATCCCAGGTCCTTGGTAAGGACTCGATAGGTAGACAAAAATGCCAAATCCAATCTGAACATCTGGCTGACTGTGCGATGATCAATAATAATAATAGTTGGAAGGGACCTTGGAGGTCTTCTAGTCCAACCCCCTACTCAGGCAGGAAACCTATACCATTTCAGATAAATGGCTGTCCTGTCTCTTCTTAAAAACTTCCAGTGTTGGTCACCTTTAGGTTTTTAGGTTTTCAACAAAAGCAGTTCTTAGCAAACAATAGTCTCACTGAGTGGACACCACAAAAAAGGTTGGTCCTTTGTCTGACCCACTTTATGTCCATCATGACTTATGACTGCAGTGGGAAGGGTCCATTATGGTTGTAAGTTGAAGACTGCTTGTATGTATTATTATTATTATTATTGATCATCGCACAGTCAGCCAGATGTTCAGACTGGATTTGGCATTTTTGTCTACCTATCGAGTCCTTACCAAGGACCTGGGATAGGTAGATGTGAATGTTTGATGATATAACACCTTTTCTTCCAGTAGTTCTGCAGCTGCTGGCCCTGGTTGCTCAGCCAACAGTCTTGAGTCCTGTAACCCATTATTCACCAGATATCCAGGAACTCCAACATCTAGCGTGGACCTTGTTAACCCGGGCGACATCCAAGCCGGTCTGGCTTTCTGAAATTTACGTCTCACCATATTTTTTATGGGAGAGACACTCTTTGTCTGATTCCTCTAATGAGACCTGTCCAGTATGGTTGAACCTCTGGCATAGCTCTCATCTTCCTCAGAGTACACAAGCCTCACAACCAAGGTAGTCAAGATAGTGTCTCACTGGGGGATTATTATTATTATTACTATCATCATCATCATTTCACGAAAGCATAATTCTACTTGTCCTATGGAGTTGGCTTTGCCTCTTGATTTTGCATTTCTTTTTTTTTTAACTAATTTTTTTGTTGCCTGAAAAAGTTTGAAAATCCCTGCCTTACGCCATATAGTAAAAACATCAGATGAATGAATGACATCTAAAAACTGGCTGAGTGTGTGACCAAATACTTATGGATTAATAATAATGAAACTCTATGGAAAAAGAAATTCTCTGTTATACCAATCATGATCGGAATCCTTGGAGAAATATCTAAAGGTTTAATATTGAAGGGAAATTTTGAATTTTCCAGAGACAAACACCCTAATTTTACAACAAAAATTACCTTGATTGGAACTGTCTAGATCCTCAGCTACTACCTTAATCATTCTTAGGTCCTTAGTGAACTTGAATTATTAATTATTTCACCCTTAATTGACTGTCACTCTAATTGTAGCTTACCCTCACACAATAATAATAATCAGAGAAGCAAAGTCTGCTCTCAAACTTCCTGCAGAAATTCATTGTCTTTTGCTGCAACAATTGACAATGTTTTTCTTTTCTAATTTGCACTGCTAACACCTCTCCGAATATATTCCTGACATAAAAAAAAAAATGAAAACTGCAATAAAATGAAAACCTAAGGAATGCTTTAAAGTGCTGAGTAGATACACCTCACTTGGGCATTTGGATCAGCTTTTGGCTGTTTTTTTTCTTTCTCTCTCTCAAAAATTCTTCATTTTTTTCTGCAAAACTTGAAGTTTCACCAGATCTCCAGAAACTATACTCCTGATAGTTCCTGCTCATACAAATTCTGTTGAAATAAACAATGGCATTTCCATCCTGAATGGGCTAGGTAGGTGTGTAATTGTCTAAGAGTGATGTAATTGTCATTGTAAACCATTCTATATTGATTTTGCTTTTCCTTCCCAACATGCATGCCTTGTTTTGTTACAGTCAGTTTACTTATCCTTTCATAAACTGCCCAGAGTTATTGGTGAGGGGGAAGCCTTAGAAATAGATTAAATAAATAAATACTGACCCTGGAATTATTATTCATTGATTTTATTATTTATGCATAAGTGGTAGTACTTATTTTCGCTTTGCACCACGGTAATCCTGAAGGAGAAACTCACAAAGGGGATTGCAACCATAAAACTAGGATTTATAAAGCCGTACAACCATCTCATTACAACAGCTTAAATCCTAGATCTACAATTTGAGTGTTTGGGAGGAGAGTGACTCTAGAACAGGGTAGGCAACCTTGGCTCTTTTATGACTCGTGGACTTCAACTCCCAGAATTCCTGAGCCAGCCAAGCTGGCTCAGGAATTCTGGGAGTTGAAGTCCACGAGTCATAAAAGAGCCAAGGTTGCCTACCCCAGCGCCTAGAAAGAGAAAAGAGTCCTCCGGGAGGAATTGGCGGCTGGAGGATCAATGGCACGTACCTGGTGAGCTAGAATAGTGTCATAGAGTTGGTCTTCCGATATCCCAGGATTCTCTTCGCTCGCAGCTTCAGGCCCGGCAAAATCAGCCCGCTGGTCATTGAGCCTCCGGGCCTGGATTGTGGCCACCATGTCAAAAAACTCTTCAGCCTGGAGCGAAGTCAGAGAAGAGAAAAAGACTGTGGAAAATGAAGGAGGAGGAGGAGGAGGAGGAAGCGGAGGAGGAAGAGGAGGTAGCGGAGGAAGAGGAGGAGGAGGAGGAGGAAGAGGAGGAGAAAATGGAGGAGGCAGAAGAGGAGGAAGAGGAGGAGGAGGAGGAAGAGGAGGAAGAGAAGGAGAAAATGGAGGAGGAGGCGGAAGAGGAGGAGGAGGAGGAAGAGGAGGAAGAGAAGGAGAAAATGGAGGAGGAGGAGGAGGAGGCGGAAGAGGAGGAGGAGGAGGAGGAGGAAGAGAAGAAGGAGAAAGCGGAGGAGGACGAGGAAGAAGAGGCGGAGGAGGAAACAAAAACAACAACCTTGCATGAATTCATGCCACACAATTGTCAAGTTCACCCCTTTTCTGATTTTGCATAATCCACTTGAACCAGCGTTTCTCCAAAGGGCTGGATCTGCACATTACCCAAAGCAAAACAGCAAACCAGGTTAAAACCATCTAGTTCTCTGTGTTGTAGGCAATGCTACTTCTAAATCCTGAATATTGACTTGGCTAAGCACGTAGGCGTCAGAAGTCTCCCAGCTGAAACGGAACCCTGAGGGAATCCTGAACAGCCGTGCCCCCTCAGAGGAGAGTTTTACGACAGCACCCAGGCCAGACCAGTTTTGTGAGGTCTGCCTTTCTCTCTTCCACACTCCTCCTTCCCATCCCTTGCCAAGAAGGGGTGCGGACCTCCAGCAGCCCCCCCTGATCCTGCTTGTTCCCTCTGCACACCAGAACCACCTGCAAAAATCTATCAGAACTGTGCGAGTTGTAGGCCGCTTGGCTGGGCCTACAAGGATGAAGCCAGGTGCAGCAAGGCCCACAGCCCTGGCCAGCTACATGCGAAAGTTGCCAGAAAGTCTGCAGGTGGAGCTGACCCAGAGATCTTGGCAAGATTTTTCAGAAGTGGTTTGCCACTTCCTCCTTCCTGGGGCTCTGAGAGAGAATAACTAGGAACAGGAATAGAGTTCAAAGCACTAAAGTTTATTTTATGCTATCACTACACAAGAATTTGACCTACTAGCGGCCAAGCCAAAATGGCACTAGATAAGGATTTCAAACTCCTTTCAAAGAAGCCTCTTTGACAAAACTAATATCTGCAGGGTTTTTTGGGTGTGTGTGCGTGTAGAGCATCTTGTGTGTGTGCGTGTAGAGCATCTCCTTGAAAAATGGGAGTCCGCTCTATTTCCGGGCTTCCTAAGAGAAGGACATTTCAAGGGAAATGACCTTTTATTCCACAGCATGGTTTCTGGAAAGAAATATAAAAGAATGAGTTGGGCATCTCTGAGCATCTAACATTCACCTGCCCCTTAAAGTGACTGTCATTATATCCTTGAAGGTTATTGCAGAGCCCAGGTTGATATTTACAGTTAAGAGCATTGACAATCGATAAAATAGCATCCTGTTTGAACAATTTGCATTAAAAGTAAGGCATTTATATGGAAGAAGAGTTGTGTTTCTCTACGGTACTCCCCAAAATCAGGAGAGCTTTCAGACTAACATATCTTATTAAAAGAGATGCAGGTAGTCCTCAGTTAACAGCCTTTCATTTAGCAACAGTATGAATTATGAGGGCACTGAGAAATGTGATTTATGACCAGTCCTCAAATTTACAATGATCGCAACATCCCCACAATCACGTGATCAAAAGTTGGGTGTTTAGCACTAGCATGTGTTTTTTTTTTGATGGTCATAGCATCCTGGGGTCATGTGATCACCACTTGTGATCTTGCCACCCGGTTTCTGACAAGCAAAGTCAATGGAGGGAGCCTGATTCATTTAAGGACTGTGTGATTCACTCTACAACCACAGTTGTACAACTGTGGCAAAAAAGATCATAAAATTGAGCACCACTCACTTAACAACTTACCTTGCTTAGCAATAGAAATCCTGGCCCCCAATGTGGTCATACGTTGAAGACTATCTGTAACTCATAGATGCCTTTGCACTAGAAATAAAAACAGCCTCTCCTTTTAATTTCAGAAATTCCTACTAATATATCCGGGGGCGGGGGGATGCACCATCTGAGTCCTTTTTCTGTGGTCCTGGACTCCTTCTGTGGACTATTGTGGATTACTGTGGACTACACAAGAGGGGGAGGTCTTGTTCTTTGCCATAGAGGGGCAGTGCTGAGCAGACATCCAATTTTCTTAGCGGAAACCAGTGAAACACAATAGACTTACACAATCTAAGTATACAACTTTTCTATATGCTTCATTCTTGTGATATGATACAGAAGGTGCAATGAGTGAGGAATGCCAGATTTATCTGTCTTTGGAAACTGAGCATTATTTTATCACTCCAACCATTTCGTTTCATGATTTTTAAAGTAGCGTCAAGCTTCTATACTCACAAATAGCATCAATGACTAAACTAAACAAAGGGGGTGCCCTAATTTTTTCTCTCTGCTACAGGGAAAAAAGAAATAAAACAAGTGGAAAGCACCTTGGTTGGACCTTTGCTCTGTAAACTTGAATTCTGGATCCCCACATTTTCAGAATTAGTGAAAGACATTGGATTATGAATAAGACAGAAACAAGATACTGGACAACCATTTGTCTGAAATGGTGTAGGGTTTCCTGCCTGAGCAGGGGGTTGGACTAGATCAGGGCTTTTCAACCTTTTCACTCATTGTACCACTTTTAGGATATGGCAACATCTGAGTACCACCAGTCGCCTAGCAAGGTGTCAAAAACTTGATGACCAAAAAAAATAAAAAGGAAAAAAATGATAAAGTAACAGATAGTCCTCGACTTACAACAGTTTGCTTAGTGACTGTTCAAAGTTACAATGGCACTGAGAAAAGTGCCCCCCAAGCCACAGCCGAGCAAGACACCTGCCTGCCCACCCTCTTGTCGCTCTTCCTCCTGTCCTAGGTTTTCATTTTGTGAGCATTTCTGTTGAGGATTGGCAGCGGGGGTAGGGTGGGGGGTGTTTGGTTTTTATTCCCCCCATCTGCTGGGTGGTTGCAGCAGGTTTTGGTCACTTCACATGACCCTGGTACACTGTGACCGTCATAAATATGAATCAGTTGCCAAGCATCTGAATGTAAATCACAAGACCCTGGAGATGCTGCAACATTCCAGCTGATCAGCACTTCTTCTGGGCTCAGCAGAAGCTCCAGGATCAGCGCCGAGCTCCAGCTGGAGCCTGGTGCTGATCCTGGTGCTTCCACTGAGCCCTGACAGCCCCAAAGAAACACCAATCAGCTGGAAAGCGGCACTGATCCTGGCACTTCCGCTGAGCCCTGACAGCCCTGCAGCTCCAGCCATCTCTTGCTCAAGCTTGTGCAGTGCTGCCACCAGTTCAGCTCATTCCTCTCCCCCGCTACCACTTTTCTAGGGTGGTCGCGTACCACCTGCCAGATGCCAATGTACCACAGGTGGTACCTGTACCACTGGTTGAAAAGCCTTGGACTAGATGACCTCCAAGGTCCCTTCCAACTTTATTATTATCGATCATCGCACCGTCAGCCAGATGTTCAGACTGGATTTAGCATTTTGTCTACCTATCGAGTCCTTACCCAGGACCTGGGATAGGCAGATGTGGATGTTTGATGGTATTACAGATATCGTCGCAGGATGGAAGCAGTTCCTAATAAGGCTGCCTTTTGCAATTGACTAATAGTGAATTTGTCGATGCCAATGGTGTTCAAGTGGTGCTCCAGTTGTTTTGGGATTGCACCTAAGGAGCCTATGACTATTGGTACTACCCTTGCTTGCTTTTGCCACAATCTTTCTATTTCTATTTGTAGGTCTTTGTATTTTGTTATCTTCTCCAGTTCTTTCTCTTCTATTCTGCTATCTCCAGTCTGTCTCTGCCAGGCACTGCCACGTCCACTATCCAGACTTTTTTGTCTTTCTTATCGACAATTGTTAAGTCTGGGGTGTTATGTTGCAGGTGCTTGTCTGTTTGAATTCTGAAGTCCCAGAGCAGTTTAATTTTATCATTTTCTATGACTTTCTCTATTTTATGATCCCACCAGTTTATTATTATTATTATTATTATTCAAACTTCCCAGTAAACCACACAAAAAAAATGAAAATTACAATATGGAAAGTATACCACTCTATATTTAACTGACAGAGCCTTTGCTTAAGAGAGTGCCAGAAACTTCTTTTTCAACCTATGAGTCAATGTTTCTCAACCTCGGCAACTTTAAGATGTGTGGACTTCAACTCCCAGAATTCTCCAGCCAGCACTAAACCATTCATTTAATGATACCTTTCAAAGCTACAATGGCCCTGAAAAAAGTAACATGACTGTTTTTCACAATTAATGACCGTTGCAGCATCTCCATGGTCAGGTGATCAAAATTCAGATGCTTGGCAACTGGCCTGTACTTACGACGGTTGCAGTGTCCGGGGGGTGTGTGTCACGTGATCATCTTTTGGGACCTTCCGGCAAGCAAAGTCAATGGGGAAGCCAGATTCACTTAGCACCTGTGTTACTAACTTAACAACTGCAGTGATTCACTTAACAGCTGTGACCAGAAAGGACATAAAATGGGGCAAAACTCACTTAATAACTATCTTGCTTAGCAATGAAAATTTTGGCTTAGTTGTGGGTCATAAGTCAATGGCTACTTGTATTCGGTCAAATATAATTAAATAGATACATCTGGACAATAAACTCTGATTCCAGAGCTTTATATTTAGGCACTGCTTAGAAGAGGGCTATAAAACACTATGCAGCAGTATATGAGTCTAAGTCAGCGGTTCTCAACCTATGGGTCGCGACCCCATTTGGGGTCGAACGACCATTTTACGGGGGTCGCCAAACAACGCGATCCGCCATTTTTTCCCCTCAGGGGGCGGCACCGCGCATGAGCGGCGCGCCGCGCATGCGCGGTGCGTCCGTGTGACCGGGGGTCGCCGTATAAAAAGGTTGAGAACCACTGGTCTAAGTGCTATTGTTATTGTCAACTGGTTAAGAAAAAAGAGGTAACACAAATTCCTCTCCTACTCCAGTGGTTCTTGAAACAGGTCTTTCAATTGCAAGCAAAGGACCATCCATCTATTAGGAATAGCAAGATTGTGTTACGAATGGCTACAGAACAAGAATAAGCAAACTTTTGGAACCAGCTGGCTTATTTGAAAGAGTTGAGATTGTGTTGTGGGCACACTCACAAAATGGCTGTCATGGGGTAGGCAACCTTGGCTCTTTTATGATTCGTGGACTTCAACTCCCAGAATTCCTGAGCCAGCATGGCTCAGCTTGGAAACCTCTCCCTGTCCCCTCAGCCTAGCTGGCTCAGGAATTCTGGGAGTTGAAGTCCATGAGTAATAAAAGAGCCAAGGTTGCCTACCCCTGGCCTAGCTAATCCCCAAACATCCAGAAATCATATGGGCCAGGTTTTTTTTTCACCTCCCTAACCAGCCATCTAGCCATCTCTATAAAAACTATTTATTTTTGTGTCTTTTTTTCCTAGGCATTTCCCAAAAAAATGCCATCTTACTTATCTACTCTATTCGTTTCTTAGGAATTCTTACTTAATAGCAGAATAAGTATGAGCAGACATATTCTTTCTTTCTTTATTTATTTATGAGACTTATATACTGCTTTAAGTGCAAGCACTCTCTAAGCGGTGTACACCAGTAAGCAATGTATATATATATTTACATTGCCCCCAACAATCTGGGTCCTCATTTTACCTACCCCGGAAGGATGGAAGGCTGAGTCAACCTTGAGCTGGTGAGATTTGAACCACTGACCTGCTGAACACAGTCAGCTAAAGTGGCCTGCAGTACTGCACTCTAACTGCTGCGCCACCTCGGCTCTTCGAATGTGAGTTACTGCAATCGGTTTTCCCCTTTAATATGATTTACCAATTCTTATTCATATAATAAAATGACAATTCAGGTAGCTCTCAAATAATGACTGGTCACTTAGCAACCATTCAAAGTTACAACTGACCCGTGCAAAATTACTTATGATCTGGTTTTGAAGTTCCCACATCGGTTCTCTCCCTCAAAATCACATTGCATGTTGGGTGCTCAGCAAGCAGCCTGCATTTATGTCCATTTGCAGGTCAGGTGACCCCACTGTCAGATGACCACGATTTACTATGGTTTTGCCTGAAACTGGTATTTACTTCTGGTTTCCAGGAAAAAAACATAGGAAACAATGGGTTCCATTAAAAATGTCCACATTCGCTTAATGACCGCCAAAACAAAAGGTCGTTAAATCAGATCAGGTTATATAGTGAACTGCTTTACAAGTGCTATGACTTAGCGACTGTAATTGCCAATCTCAATTACGGTCATTACTTGAGGGCTGCCTGTAATAATACTTTAATTCTAAAGAATATAAAAATAGCTCAAATTTGTCAACTGATGGCAATCCTGATAAGTCCTCGACTTACAACCACAACTGGCAAACCCCGGGGAAATCAAGAGATTCAGGCAGTTCAAACGAGTATAAAGATTTATTGCAAGCTTAAGCTCTCTACAAAAATCTGAGCTACTAACAGTCAAGGGAAATGAGCGGGGGATAGGAAAGACATTCAAGGTGGGCTGGACATAGATCTCTTGCAGACACTCAGGGACTCATGACTTATGATGCCTTTGACCCCTTCCCCCTTGGGCTCAGCTGGGTTATCTCCTAACAACTAAGTACAAAATTTCTGTTGCTAAGTGAGACAGTTGTTAAGTGCGTTTCCCCCCATTTTACAACCTGTCCTGCTGCACTTGTTAAATGAATCACTGCAAGAAGAAATAGGGGAGACATGATAGCAGTGTTCCGGTATCTGAGGGCCTGCCACAAGGCAGTAGGGGTCAGGTTGTTCACCGAAGCACCAGAGGGAAGGACGAGAAACAATGGGTGGAAACTGATCAAAGAGAGAAGCAACCTGGAACTAAGGAGAAACTTCCTGACAGTGAGGATAATTAACCAGTGGAACAGCTTGCCTCCAGAAATCATGGGTGCTCCATCACTAGAGATTTTTAAGAAAAGGCTAGAGCAACTAGACATTCACTTGTCTGAGATGATATAGGTTCGTAGTGGTGAACCTATGGCACGCGTGCCACAGGTGGCATGTAGAGCCCTCTCTATGGGCACACATGCTGTCGCCCCAGTCCTAGGCCTTCAACTGGGTTTTATAAAACCTTTTCGCTTTAGGCCTCTGCCACCGTGTGCAAAAAAAAAAAAAAGGTTCAATCAATCAATCAATTTCAACTCTAGCGGGGGAAAAAAAGATCTCGCTAAGTTCGAATTGATTGATTGAAATTTTTAGTGCCACTCAGTCTGTCGTTACCACCGCAGCCACGCCCACCCAATGGGCCATGCCTACCCGGCACCCGACGATACATAAGTGGGCTTTGGGTTGCATTTTGGGCACTCAGTCTCTAAAAGGTTTGCCATCACTGATGTAGATTCTCCTGCTTGAGCAGGGGGCTGGACTAGAAGACCTCCAAGGTCCCTTCCAGCTCTATTCTATTCTGTTCTATTCTATTCATAATAATAATAATAATAATAATAATAATAATAATAATAATAATAATAATAATAATAATAATGTTGGAAAGGACCTTGGAGGTCATCTAGTCCAACCCCCTGCTCAGGCAGGAAACCCTATACCATTTCAGACAAATGGCCATCCAGTCTCTTCTTAAAAACTTCCAGTGTTGGAGCATTCACTGCTTCTGGAGGCAGGTTGTTCCACTGGTTAATTGTTCTAACTGTCAGGAAGTTTCTTCTTAGTTCTAGGTTGCTTCTCTCCTTGATTAGTTTCCATCCGTTGCTTCTTGTCCTGCCTTCAGGTGCTTTGGAAAATAGCTTCACTCCCTTTTCTTTGTGGCAGCCCCTGAGATATATTGGAGCATTGCTATCATGTCCCCCCTCGTCCTTCTCTTCATTCAACTAGACATACCCAATTCCAGCAGCCTTTCCTTATATGTTTTAGCCTCCAGTCCCCTGATCATCTTTGTTGCTCTTCTCTGTACTCTTTCTAGAGTCTATTCTATTCTATTCTATTCTATTCTATTCTATTCTATTCTATTCTATTCTATTCTATTCTATTCTATTCTATTCTAATTCTTAAGTTGGTAACCCAGTTGTTAAATGAATCCAGCTTTCCCATTGACTTTGCTTGTCAGAAGGTCACAAAAGGTCATACGACCCCGGGACACTGCAACCATCCTAAATACATGCCAGTTGCCAAGCATCCGAATTTTGATCACGTGACTGTGGGGACACTGTAGCAGTTGTAAGTGCGAAAAATGGTCATAAGTCAACTTTTTTTTAATACTGTTGTACAGTCACTAAATGAACGGTTGTAAGTTGAGGACGACCTGTATTAGGAAACGAGAGAGGGCACATATACTGATCTTTCTTACCTTTCTGGTCTTTTTCCAGTAATCCCGAAGGAGTAGGGGGCAGCGATTTCCAGGGACGGACAAGTGCGTGCTTCTGAACTCGTTGCTTTGAGCGCAGAACAGGACCCTGGCTTGGAAGAGTGCTGAATTCAACATGAGAAGTGAGGCTCTGGATGGAAAAAAAAGCAGAAGGAAAAGACACAAGTGAAATGGGATGCTTATCTGAATTGGGTCTAGCACGACGTCTCTCTCACCCATGGAAACTTTAAGATGTGTAGACTTCAGCTCCCAGAATTCCTCAGCCAGCTTGGCGGTTCCTGGGGAATTCTGGAAGTTGAAGTCCACACATCTTAAAGCAGTGATGGCGAACCTTTTAGAGTAGTGGTTCTCAACCTATGGGTCGCGACCCCATTTGGGGTCGATCGACCATTTCACAGGGGTCGCCAAGCAAGGCTGTTTTTTCCCTTTTCCGGTGGGTGCCTTACCTCCTTTGGGCTGGGCCAGCTGGTGGCCCAGCTGGTGGTAGGCATGCTCCGTCTCTGCCGCTTGCCAGCTACGCCTCGGCCGGCGCAGGGGGCGGCACCACGCATGCGTGGCGCTCCCGGGCAGGGAAAGTCCTCAACTTACGACTGATTGGGTAGTCCTTGACTTACGACCGGTTTAGTCCTCAATGTACGACCGGTTTAGTCCTCAACTTACGACCGGTTGGGGGGTCACGACATTAAAAGGGTTGAGAACCACTGTTTTAGAGACTGAGTGCCCAAACTGCAATCCAAAACCCACTTATGCATCGTAGGTGGGCGTGGCTGCGGTGGTAACGGCAGACTGGGTGAGACTAAAAAGTTCAATCAATCAATTCCAACTTTGCAAGAACTTTTTTTCCCCACGAGAAATTGAAGTTGACTGATTGATTGAACCTTTTTTTTGGTTTTGCACACGGCAGAGGCCTAAAGTGAAAAGGTTTTATAAAACCCAGCTAAAGGTCTAGGACTGGGGTGACAGCACGCGTGCCCACAGAGAGGGCTCTGAGTGCCACCTCTAGTACCTGTGCCATAAGTTTGCTACCACTGTCTTAAAGTTTCCAAAGTTGAAAAACACTGCTCTAATGGGTTGCATTTTATTTAGAATATTGTTGTATGTTCTAACTGTTTTAGAATTTAAATGGACTACAGGTGCTCCTCGACTTATAACCGTTCGTTTAGTGTCCGTTCGAAATCAAAACAGCCCTGTAAAAAGTGACTTATGACCGTTTTCCGCACTTTACAACCATTGCAGAATCTCCGTGGTGATGTGATCAAAATTCAGACGCTTGGCAACTGACTCATGTTTATGACCGTTGCAGTGACCCGGGGTCATTGGATCCCCTTTTTCTGACCTTTTGACAAGCAATGGGGAAGCCAGATTCACTTAACAACCGCGTTATTTATTTAACAGCGGCGGCAAGGTAGATCGTAAAAATGGGGCCAAAATTCACTTAAGAACGGTCTTGCCTAGCAAGAGAAATTTGGGGCTCAGGTGTGGCTGTAAGTCGAGGACTACCTGTACATCTTCTAGCAAGGCTTAGTGCCTGGAGGAAATCTAGTTTGGAAAGGCAGGATGCCCATTTCAAAAACCTAAAAGTAAAAAAGGCAGATATGCCCTGGACGAAGGTTGGGATGGGAGTGCTAAGAAGATCTCAACTGTCCTTTTCTAAACGTCTTGAAGGAAGAATGTGATAAAAACAGAATAATTGTTACTGGGCGCACATCAAAGCGTAGGACCAGCACCCAGTCATTGGCCCTTGGAGCAAGCAAGGTTTCTGTTTAGCCCTGTAACAAGAAGAGCACAAGCAAAGATATCTATGTCAGAAGACAACTGCTGTAGCTACCTTTGGATTTCTCCAAAAGCTTAATCCTGGGGTCCTCAAACTTGGCTACTTTAAGACTTGTGCACTGGCTGGCTGGGGAATTCTGGGAGTTGAAGTCCACAAGTCAGTTTGGATTAATCCTTTCTACAGGGAAATACAAAAGGTTAAGCCAGGTGTAGGCAACCTTGGCTCTTTTATGACTCATGGACTTCAACTCCCAGAATTCCTGAGCCAGCATGACTCAGCTTGGAAACCTCTCCCTGTCCCCTCAGCTTAGCTGGCTCAGGAATTCTGGGAGTTGAAGTCCATGAGTAATAAAAGAGCCAAGGTTGCCTTACCCCTGGCCTAGCTAATCCCCAAACATCCAGAAATCATACGGGCCAGTTTTTTTTTCCACCTCCCTAACCAGCCATCTAGCCATCTCTATAAAAACTATTTATTTTTGTGTCTTTTTTTCCTAGGCATTTCCCCAAAAAATGCCATCTTACTTATGCACTCTATTTCTTTCTTTCTTCTTTCCAGGTTGCCTACCCCTGGCTTAAGCTCTCCTGAAGCTGGCATCTCGCAATGGTGTTTCATTGCAATTTCTATCACCTCAGCCAACGAGCTCAGAGGCTCGGAAAAGACACGGGTAGGTGATTAGCAAGAGAGGTTCATCAGGAACCTACAAACCCTCAAGGAGCCAAACTACCTCTTCCAACAGATTCCATCATCCTGTTCTATCAAGCCGCTGGGACTTCTCATTTAATCCCACCTGGAAGGCCCCAGGTTCCTTCCTCCTCTCAAAATAGATAAAGGAGAAACCATTTGAGAATCAAATCAGCAACAGTTCCATCTGCTCTATTGTTATTAAAGGCACAATTTTTTGGAAGCAACAAAGCAGATTTAAAAAAACAAAACTCTAATCTTATTCATTGTAGTAGGTGATGCATTGTTCTGAACCCCTGCCAGTGAAAAAACTGATTAAACTCACTGTGCAAAACTGCCTGAGCCTGGAACACGTCCAAAATGCTCAGAATCTTGCATGGTTTTGCACTTGGAATGGTATTATTTATATGTTACTTATATGTAAGGGTGTAGGTCTATACATATGTTGCATATAGTGTGTTTTAAATATGTGTTATGTATGTGTACACTTTTAAATTTCATTTCTAATGTGTGTCGTTGTGCCCACAGGGAGAAAAAATGACAATAAAGGTTATCTAATCTAATCTAATCTAAAAACAAACTCTTTTGCAGATCCCTAATTTATAGGGCTGTGTGTGCTTTAAAAATAGTTTGGGAAAAGTCTTTAGACCGTTGTAGGAGCACAACACTTCTTTTCTACATCAGTCTGAAAAAAGATACAGATGCTTTAATGAGCTGTTGAGCCTCTTTAAAACAGCTGCATCTTTTTCCAGGCTCCCCCAGGCTGGAGGATTCTGGGAATTGAAGTCCACACATCTTAACATTGCCACCATAGGCAAACACTGCTCCAGCTGTTTTAGGGCTGCTATCACCAGATAACTGAAGAATTACAGAAATTTACATTTGGCCACATCTGGAAGGCATGGCGGTTCTATGTTTTTTCTTAAAGGGCCAGTTCATTCTCCTCCTCTTTCTGCTTTTCCAGCTGCATTCCATCTCTCCCACTTAGCTCATTCCCAACTACTGTTGAGAGAAAAGTTGCCTCTTTTCAATTTTTACTTCTGCATCATTGGGGTTGAGCCTATGCTTACAGCTTCCCTCAAGTGATAGGGACCGATAATGTTTGCATAAGGTGACTTTGCTTCACAGATAGGCCCCCTTACCTGTTTTCCTGCCGTTCCTGCATCTGAAGCATCACTCTTTGGTGTCTGTTCTTTTTCTATTACATCCATTTCGTGCTCCATGGTTTTTTTTTTAACTTGCTCCAAACGGATTGTCTGAAGACTCTTCTACGTGGAAGGATTTTCTGGTTTGCTACAAGAAAAAAAAGAAACAGATTCGGTCCTCTTGCCATGGTTTCGACAGATGAAACTCTTCAAAAGAACTTCAAGGTATTGTTTACCTTAAAGCAGGCATGTCAAACTCCCGGCCCATGGGCTGGATGCGTCATGCCAAAACCGCACCCACCCCATTGCCGGCAATGGGGGAAAAGTCACGATACATCACGTGACATCACATGACATCGCAAGTTTGAGCCTTAAAGGATCTTTTATTTGAGTAGCAGAAAATCAGTACTTACATAATCAAAGCCAAAAACTGAATTCCCCCCCCCCACATAGTATCAAAGCACAATTGCCTCCTCCAATTAACAGTCATAAATCACATTGCCCAATTAGCTTGAAGCGCAGGGCTTCCTCTCCAGCTTTCCAGCCCGCCAATTCTTTATCAGTTCTGAGTTCAACAATCTTGATTCTCACTTTAGGTTTAGTATTGTTATGTGTAGCTGGACTCCCATTCACATCCCCCCCACTCCCAGCATCATCTAACTGTAAAAGCAAAAGGGAAAAAATGGTTACATTTCCATCTGTTGTCAATGCAAAAACATTCCGATGTTAGCAGCGTTGACACCTCTTTGAGAATTTCAGGAATACGACGTCTGAGTAAAAATCGACTCATTTGAGGTATGGTGCTGGAAAAGGCCCCTGTGTGTTCCTTGGATTTCAAAGGTGACTAACAAACAAGAATATGTACGCATAACACCAGACATGTCACTGGAAGGCAAAATCACAAAACCGTGTCTCGCTTATTTTGGTCCTGTCATCTGGAGGAATTCACTGGAGAAAGCAATTATGTTTGGAAGAGTTAATGGTAAAAGAAAAGCAGGCCATCAAAGAACGCAATGGCTGGACACCATCAAAGCTGACACCAGCATAGAAAAAAATCAGAGAAGTGCAAGATCGGAAGAATAGAGTCAGACTCGACCGAACGGAGAACATCATCATCAAAAATTATACAGTTAAAATTATTTTTAATTAAAATAATTAACAAATATATTAAATTTACAGAGTACATAAAGGCAGGCTATAAATACATAATTTTTTAAAAAAAATAAGATAAAGTGGGCTCTGAATAAATCGGAACTATATTTAAGTGCATTTAATTCAGGCATATATTACCATCAGCACTTAGGCATTTAAACATAAACAGAAATCATATTCTCTGTTTAGGGTGGGGGAGAGAAATGTACACAAAGAAATTGGCTCCTTGTCTTGTAAATTTACCAGTGGAACAATTAGGAAGACAATTAATGGAAGGGAGAGGCAAATCTACAAAAAAGTGGAATTTGGGTTGCCAATTTAGCAAGGAAAAAAAGTCATTTCCTGCTTCTGGGGCTTTACTAGTGATTCACTGGGGAGAAAAGAAGCAGCAGCCAAGTTTTTTTGAAGCATGTGTAAAAAAAAGGTATTGTCTGTTAAAGCTGCCTATCTTAGTTGCTACAGGTAGTTCCTACAGGTAGTCCTCAACACACCACCATTCATTTAGTGACCACAGTTACAACAGCTATGCAAAAAGTGGTTTATGACTGTTTTATTACACTTGTACTATAAAGCATCCCAGATTAGTAGAATGCTTTATTAAGGATTCAAACAAAGTAAGACAGCACTCAGAATCCTGCATCCAGTTTTGGCCACCACGTTATAAAAAAGACGTTGAGACTCTAGAAGAAGTACAGAGAAGAGCAACAAAGATGATTAGGGGACTGGAGGTTAAAACATATAAGGAACGGTTGCTGGAATTGGGTATGTCTAGTTTAGTGAAGAGAAGGAGTAGGGGTGACATAATAGCAGTGTTCCAATATCTCAAGGGCTGCCACAAAGAAGAGGGAGTCAAGTTATTTTCCAAGGTGCCTGAAGGCAGGACAAGAAGCAACGGATGGAAACTGATCAAGGAGAGAAGCAACTTAGAACTAAGGAGAAACTTCCTGACAGTTAGAACAACCAGTGGAACAACTTGCCTCCAGAAGCGGTGAATGCTCCAACACTGGAAGTTTTTAAGAAGAGACTGGACAGCCATTTGTCTGAAAGGGTCTCCTGCTTGAGCAAGGGGCTGGACTAGAAGATCTCCAAGGTCCCTTCCAACTCTGTTATTCTGTTTGTTTAGCTGTTGCTTGGACTCCTACTACAGTTTTTCAGCCTGGTTCCTGTTGTGCCTCATCACTCTAGTTAAGAGTGAAATATGTACAAGGAGTTTCAGTTTCATCTGTAAGTGTAGGTTGTGTCACAATACTATGTGTGTGTGTGTGCATGCAGATATGTGTATATGTACGTATGTGCGGCAATATGTTTTTTTAAATTTATGACTGCATTACTTAATGATGAAGCTTCCGGTCCCAATTAGTATTATTAGAGAAAGACTAAAGTACTGTATTCTGAACACACACCACACATGGTTCTCTGAAAACTGCCTACTTTCTTCTCTCTCACCCTGTTTACATATACAGATATTGCTGTATGCAATACAGGCAGTGACAAGGATGGAACGATATCATAAAAAGGGGAACAGCAACAAAATGTTGCCGTATAAAATATCCGTAAGCTCAGAAGACTAAATCTCTCGTCCCAGTGAACCAACCTGGATGGGATCCTGCAGTATGAAATATTTTTTGCAAAATCAGCAGTACTCCAGAAAAATATCCCCTTCCACGATAATCTGTTCAATTCTCTTTTTTCCTCTTGCCAGTTTAAGACTAGTTTTAAGAGAATAAGATTTTTAAATGATTTTTTTTCTGCTGGTTAAATTCTTCCACCTTCCCTTTTTATAGATGGATAATTAATCCTGCAAACCTCAGTTCCTCTCCAAAGTAGCAGCTATTGTGGCCTAGATCAAGGCTTTTCAACCAGTGGTATGGGTACCACCTATGGTACATTGGCACCTGGCAGGTGGTACGCAACCATCCTAGAAAAGTGGTAGCGGGGGAGGGGAATGAGCTGAACCGGTGGCAGCACCGCACAAGGCTGAGCGAGAGATGGCTGGAGCTGCAGGGCTGTCAGGGCTCAGTGGAAGCACCAGGATCAGCGCCAGGTTCCAGCTGGAGCTTGACACTGAACCTGGTACTTCTGCTGAGCCCAGAAGAAGCGCTGATCAGCTGGAATGTTGCAGCATCTCCAGGGTCTTGTGATTTACATTCAGATGCTTGGTAACTGATTCATATTTATGATGGTCGCAGTGTCCCAGGGTCATGTGAAGTGACCAAAACTGGCTGCAACCACCCAGCAGACGGGAAGAATTAAAACCAAACACCCCCACCCCACCCCTGCTGCCAATCCTCAACAGAAATGCTCACAACAATGAAAACCTCAGACAGGAGGAAGAGCACCGCCGGGTGGGCAGGCAGGTGTCTTGCTTGGCTGTGCCTGGGGGGGGGGCACTTTTTTCAGTACCATTGTAACTTCGAATAATCACTAAGAGAACTGTTGTAAGTCGAGGACTACTTGTACTTCATCACTTTTTTCCTTTTGGGGGGGGGGTCATCAAGTTTTTGACACCTTGCTAGGCGACTGGTGGTACTCAGATATTGCCATATCCTAAAAGTGGTACAATGGGTGAAAAGGTTGAAAAGCCCTGGCCTAGATTGTGTTGTTTTGCTCACGTTAAGGAGTCACATTCAAATGTAATGAGTCCTCTGTTAAACCAGACTTCCTCAATCTAATTCTGTCTGGCTCTGCTGGACGACAACATCAATAATATTTACTCAAATAGCTAGGCAGGCGGTGTACACAGGAACTGTAACTGAATAACAGAGTTGGAAGGGACCTTGGAGGTCATCTAGTCCAACTCCCTGCTCAGGCAGGAAACCCTATACCATTTCAGACAAGTGGCTGTCCAGTCTCTTCTTAACAGCCTTCAGTGATGGAGCAACCACCACTTCTGAAGGCAAACCTGTTCCACTGTCCTCACTGTTAGGAAGTTTCTCCTTAATCCCAGGTTTTTTCTCTCCTTGATAATTCTAGATTGCTTCTTTCCTTGTAAACCAAGGTGTGTTGTAGGTGACCAGAAAGGTTCCAATGTTTGCATTTTCTTTAAAATACTCCAAACAGCCAGAAATACAGACCGTCCTGACAAGAAATATTTGCATTTTTACGGCCTTGTTTTTTTTATGAAAGTGAAATGTTTCCTGACCGTGATCAGAATCACTTTGATCTTAACAACAGCCACAAACATCTCCTTTGAGGGGGAGATTCATAAGCGATCTTGCCTGAGAGGGTATTCAGCGTACATTCCCAGGTTTTTGAACCCTAGAATTCAGAATTTTCCCTTTGCTTCATTCTCAAAATAGGATGGCTCACAACCGCCCTGCCACTTAGCAGCTTATGTCATGACAGTTGCACAGATGTGTATTTTACTGGGGACAAGTTAATGGCTTGTTTGGCCTCGTTGCGATGAAGATGATAATTAAGCCCCTCATTCGGTCAAAATCGATGGGAGGGGATATTTAAGCATTTCCTCTGCCCTAAACTTGATCTAATGGCAGAAAGTGAAGAGGAACTAAAGAGCCTCTTGATGCGGGTGAAGAAGGAGAGTGCAAAAGTTGGCTTGAAACTCAACATTAAGAAAACCAAGATCATGGCATCCGGCCCTCTTAAGTCTTGGCAAACAGATGGGGAAGAAATGGAGGTAGTGACATATTTTAACTTCCTGGGCTCTAAGATCACCACAGATGGGGACTGCAGCCAAGAAATTAAAAGACGCTTGATCCTGGGGAGGAAAGCGATGGCAAATCTAGACAGCATAGTAAAAAGCAGAGACATCACCCTGCCAACAAAAGTACACATAGTCAAGGCCATGGTTTTCCCAGCTGCAATGTATGGCTGTGAAAGTTGGACCATAAGAAAGGCTGAGCGCCAAAGAATTGAGGCCTTTGAACTATGGTGCTGGAGAAGACTCCTGCGAGTCCCTTGGACTGCAAGGCAATCAAACCGGTCAGTCCTAGAGGAGATCAACCCCGACTGCTCTTTAGAAGGCCAGATCCTGAAGTTGAAACTCAAGTACTTTGGCCACCTAAGGAGTGAGAAGGAAGGACTCACTGGAGAAGAGCCTAATGCTGGGAAAGATGGAGGGCAATAGAAGAAAGGGACGACAGAGGATGAGGTGGCTGGATGGAGTCACTGAAGCAGTAGGCATGAACTTAAATGGACTCCAGAAGATGGTAGAGGACAGGAAGGCCTGGAGGAACGTTGTCCATGGGGTCGCGATGGGTTGGACACGACTTCGCAACTAACAACAACAAACTAGATCAAATCCAGTCTTCCTCCCAGCTAGCATGTTACAATACTCTGGTATTTGCTCTCCTTTATAAATTAAAGACATGAAATAGTCTAGATTTGAGGAAGTCACAATATGGCAAAGATTTCCAGTTCCAGTTCCTACATCTAGTACCATGTTCCCAATTTGTCCCAGTTTCTCCTTCCTCATATTAGCAACCTGGTTAATAAGGATCCATGGCTATCAACAACCTCTAACTCTTTGATTCTCTCGGTCAGCATCTGCAATAAAAGCTTCCAGTCCATTATGATTGACAGTGCCAACTTTCCCCAGTCTGTTCTTCCACCATATATTGGGGTACAACTCCCAGAATTTCCAGCCTACTTCGTAGGAATTCTGGGGGCTGTAGTCCACCCTATCCAGAAAGCCCTCTTTCAGCCACTCTTCCACTGTCTGGTTTTGTCTATTTATTATCCATTTACAGGACTTATATGGCTGCTTATCTCATACAAGGACTCTAGGCCAGTGATGGCGAACCTTTTAGAGACCGAGTGCCCAAACCGCAACCCAAAACCCACTTACTTATCGCAAAGTGCCAGGGCCGCATCAGCATTGTGGTGCCTGGGGGGGGGGCAGGGAGGTGCCTCTGAGTGCGGCTTCTGGCACGCAAAAAATGGGGATGCAAAAATGGGCCACTAGGCTGCCAGGCGCAAAAACGGCCACCGCACCGCAGGGTGCAGATACAAGGCGCTGCACAACGCAAGAAAGGGGCAGGGCAAGTATCATGCAGGCACTAGCTCTGCCCCATTTGCAGCATGTGCGTGCTCGCAGCCCCGTGCGCGCATGCACGCATGTAAAATGCTTCCCCCTCCCTTTTCTTCCCGTCCACCATTTGACAATGGTTGGTGACCTCTGCTCTACCACCTCTACTCGAGCTTGCTAGTCGGCTGCTTTGCCTCCTTTGTGCTGGGCGGGGCTCCTGCTCCAGGTGGCGGTGGTGGCCTGATGGACTTGCTGCTGGCGGCAATGGCGCGTGTGCCAACAGAGAGGGCTCTGAGTGCCGCCTCTGGCACGCGTGCCACAGGCTCGCCACTACTGCTCTCGGCAGTTCACCACCATCCTGAAAACATGTTTAGAAATAAAGGTACCTTTTCCCCAGGTCTCAGATCAAACGCTCTCACGGCCCACCCCCTCTCCTACCCAGGAAAGCCCAAGTCTTCATTATATTTTGGGTCTTGACTTGGGAGTTATGGGGTCGGACCCAAAAGTATTTGGAAGATGGCAGGTTGGAGCAATATGTAAGGCAGTGTTTCTCAATCCTGGCAGCCCGAAGATGGGTGGACTTCAACTCCCCAAATTCCATGGCTGATGGGAGATGAAGTCCACCCATCTTCAAGGATGAGAAACTCCTGCCTTAAGGTCCCAGGCCAGGAGGCCTATTGAGAACCTCTCAATTGGACAGCCACCTCCTACGCAGAAGACTTCCTTGTCTCTAAACAACATCAACTTCACGAAGCAACACTCTCTGGCACCCCATCCCTCACCTTTCAGGTCCCCTTGCCTTCACGCGGCTGGCAGTTTCCGGCAGAACCCCATTCCTCATCCCCTTCGCTCTCACTCTGGCTTTGCTGGCGTCTGGCCTTCCTCCATCTCAGCTCATTCTCTTACGGCTGCTTCCGCTGTCTCTCTCGCTGCCTCTCTCTCAGCCCTGCCTGGTTACGCCTCGATTTCTACACGGGAAACCACGGGCTTCCTGTTCTGGGTTGCTGCTCGGCTCCAGCCAGCCATCGGATCATCTCTCGTGCCGCACTATTTACCCCCCACCCCCACCCTCTCCTGGCTGGCTAGAGCAGCAAAGGAAAGAGACAGGTGCGTAGATAGTTTTTGTCCCTTGACTGGCTCAACCTTCAGTTTCTGCAACCACTTCCCCTGTCGCAGACACTTGGGGGGAAGATGGCTAGCGAGAGTCTACATCCTTCCTACGGCATATCTGCAACATGCTGGATTTAGTCTGAGCTTTCTTTTTCCTTTCTCCGGGCCTCCCCTTTTAATACAGAGTTTGCTTTTATGGATCTGATGGACAGTCAGTCACCTTCTACCCACTTGTGGACTTTCTATCAATGATATGATAGCAGTGTTCCAGTATTTGAAAGAAGGGGGGGTCAACCTGTTCTCCAAAGCACCTGAAGGCAGGACAAGAAGCAATGGATGGAAATTAGGGTTGTACTATAGGGTCTCCTGCCTGAACAGGGAGTGGGATTAGAAGGCCTCCAAGGTCCCTTCCAACTCTCTTCTCTTCTCTTCTCTTCTCTTCTCTTCTCTTCTCTTCTCTTCTCTTCTCTTCTCTTCCCTTCCCTTCCCTTCCATTCCATTCCATTCCATTCCATTCCATTCTATTCTATTCCCCATTCTATTCTATTCTATTCTATTCTATTCTATTCTATTCTATTCTATTCCACTCCACTCCACTCCACTCCACTCCACTCCATTCCATTCCATTCCATTCCATTCCACTCCACTCCACTCCACTCCACTCCATTCCATTCCATTCCATTCTATTCTATTCTATTCTATTCCATTCCATTCCATCCATTTATCCACTTCCATTCCATTCCATTCATTTCTATTCTATTCTATTCTATTCTATTCTATTTCTATTCATTCCATTCCACTCACTCCACTCCACTCCATTCACCACTCTACTCTACTACCATTCATCCATTCATTCCAGTCCATTCATTCCATTTCCATTCCATTCCACTCCACTCCACTCCATTCCATTCCATTCCATTCCATTCCATTCTATTCTATTCTATTCTATTCTATTCTATTCTATTCTATTCTATTCTATTCTATTCTATTCCATTCCATTCCATTCCATTCCATTCTATTCTACTCTATTCTATTCTATTACTAGCTTGCCTTCAAACATTGTGTTTTAAGAAAAGACCGGGCAGTCATTTGTCTGAAATGATATAGAGCAGTGGTAGTGAACCTATGGCACTGGCGCCAGAGGCGGCACTCAGAGCCTTCTCTGTGGGCACATGTGCCGTTGCCCCAGCCTTGCTTCCCCCAGGACCCCCTCCTCACCAGCAGCCCCCCTGGAGAAGAGTCGCCCCCGAGCGTGGCCCACGCGGAGCAGGGCAGTCAAGGACATGGTAGACAGGCAACGTAGACAAGACTCTGCCCTCGCGCCCCATCGTGCACAGTTGATGCTGCAGGGTGCGGGCAGAGGGTGTGGCTGCCATGGCGCTGCTGGGGATCTGTGGCGGGCCGTGGAGACGATGAGTGGCCCTGCGGGTAGGTGGGGTGGGGGCGGGGCAGGGCAGGGGGTGGAGGGGGGGGACAGTTTTTGGGCACTCGGTCTCTAAAAGGTTCGCCATCAGTGGTATATAGTCTCCTGCTTGAGCAGGCGGCTGGACTAGAAGACCTCCAAGGTCCGTTCCAGCTCTATTCTGATTACATATGCAAAGGAAAACACACTGAATTTTCAAGTATAGCTCCCACTCAGAAAACAGTGCATCTGCTTCAATTAGGCAAGCCTGATTAATTATCTGGAGTAGAATTTCTCAATTTTGTCAACTTTAAGATGGGTGGACTTCAATTCCCAGAATTCCCCAGCCAACCATGCTCGCTGGGGAATTCTGGGAGTTGAAGTCCACCTATTCTAAAGTTGGCAAGGTTTTTACAGGGGTTCTCAACCTTGGCAACTTTAAGACTTGTGGACTTCTGGCTGGCTGAGGAATTCTGGGAGTTGAAGTCCACAAGTCTTAAAGTTGCCAAGGTTGAGAACCCCTGGTTTAGAAAGTCTGATCTGCGGGGGCGGCAGGGGGGGGGGACGGGAAACTTTTCAGCTAAAGATATAGTATCAAAAGAGAAAACAGCCAAGCAAAACACAGAAGTGTATCAGAAGAGAAAACACAGAAAAGCAAAGGTCAAAGAGGAAACTTTCTTAGTCACTTCTATTGCTAAGCAATTTCCATACAATTTCCATGCTCATGACATTTGCCCACAGGGTGATCTCTGCTATTTCTTGTTATTTCAGGAAGTAAGAAAAAAAAAATAGATGTTTACTCTGATTCTCTGCCATTGGTCTTCCAATACTAAGCTGCTTCATTAATATCAGTCATATAAATCAGTGCTGTGACTTGATTTATTTATTTATTTATGCATGCTGCCCAGCTCAAAGGCAACTCTGGGCAGTTTACAAACACTGATTAAAATGCACTACAGGTAGTCCTCAAGTTACAAGCATTCGTTTAGCAACTGTTCAAAATCACAATGGCACTGGAAAAAGGGACTTATGGCCATTTTTCACACTTACGACCGTTGTAACATCCCCATGATCGTCTGATCAAACTTCAGAGGCTTGGAATTGACTCATATTTATGTCCTGGGGTCATTCAGCCACCTGACAAGCCAAGTCAATGAATCCCCAGTTGTGCTGCCAAAGGAGCTGCAGCCTCATCTGAAGTTCATAAAAGCAGAAGGAGGGGCTCTTCATTAAATATCTGTATCATGGCTTTAAATCCATTGAGGTGGCGCAGCAGTTAGAGTGCAGTACTGCAGACCACTTTAGCTGACTGTGTTCAGCAGGTCAGCGGTTCAAATCTCACCGGCTCAAGGTTGACTCAGCCTTCCATCCTTCCGGGGTAGGTAAAATGAGGACCCAGATTGTTGGGGGCAATGTAAATATATATATACATTGCTTACTGGTGTACACCGCTTAGAGAGTGCTTGCACTTAAAGCGGTATATAAGTCTCATAAATAAATAAATAAATAAATAAATAAATGAACTCCAGCTGGTACATTTACTCCCAGTTATTCCCATTATCCCCCTCACACATTACTTGAGGTCTTTAAAATACTTCACGTGAAGTATTAATACCATTTTACAATGCCTCGGTAAGGTCACACCTGGGATACTGCATCCAGTTTTGGTCACCACGATGTAAAAAAGATGTTGAGACTCTAGGAAGAATACAGAGAAGAGCAGCAAAGATGATTAGGGGATTGGAGGCTAAAACATATAAGGAAAGGCTGCTGGAATTGGGTATGTCTAGTTTAATGAAGAGAAGGACGAGGGGGGACATGATAGCAATGCTCCAATATATCTCAGGGGCTGCCACAAAGAAGAGAGAGTCAAGCTATTTTCCAAGGCGCCTGAAGGCAGGACAAGAAGCAACGGATGGAAACTAATCAAGGAGAGAAGCAACTTAGAACTAAGGAGAAACTTCCTGACAGTTAGAACAATTAACCAGTGGAACAACCTGCCTCCAGAAGCGGTGAATGCTCCAACACTGGAAATTTTTAAGAAGAGACTGGACAGCCATTTGGGTTCCTGCCTGAGCAGGGGGTTGGACTAGATGACCTCCAAGGTCCCTTCCAACTTTATTATTATTATTATTATGGATCATCGCACAGTCAGCCAGATGTTCAGAGTGGATTTGGCATTTTGTCTACCTATCGAGTCCTTACCCAGGACCTGGGATAGGCAGATGTGGATGTTTGATGGTATTACAGGTATCGTTGCAGGATGGAAGCAGTTCCTAATAAGGCCGCCTTTTGCAATTGACTAATAGAGAATTTGTCAATGCCAATTGTGTTCAAGTGGTGCTCCAGTTGTTTTGGGATTGCACCCAAGGAGCCTATGACTATTGGTACTACCCTTGCTTGATTATTATTATTATTATTATTATTATTATTATTATTATTATTATTATTATTATATAGATGGGAGCAAAACAAACCCATCCACAGACACACATTCACACACTCTTATTTATTTTTGAGGTATACTTGAAGTGCAAAGTAGTGCAGAAAGAACCCTTCTTTCTCCTTCTGGTCTCAACCAAGATATTTAACTACCAAAGTAGTAACCTTTCCTCCTCCTCCTCCTCCTCCTCCTCCTCCTCCTCCTCCTCCTCCTCCTCCTCCTCCTCCTCCTCCTCCTCCTCCTCCTGTTTTTCTTGCAATGACATCCACAAATGAACTTAGGAACGGTGCGGGGACCCCAGCAAGCTCCTAGTCATCGTCACCCCACATTGGCTCTGGGGCTGAAGATAGCAACAGCAATAACACTTAGACTTCACAGCCCTCTCTAAGCAGTTTACAGAGTCACCACATCGCCCCCATCAACCTGGGCAGATAGACAGTATCAGCCAGAGACTGTCGCTTGTTAAGAAGATGGAAAAGAGGAAGAGGAAGAAGAGGGGGAAAGCAAACAATCAAGTTGATGAAGCCTCGGAGTTCTGATTTATTCAGCTCTATCTATCGGAACCATGACATTATGGCAATAAGAACGACAGCAGTGCTACACATCCTGACTGCAGCTAGGCCTGCTTTTGCGCAACAATGGAAGAGCAAGGAAATTCCCACAGAGGAAGAGTTAATACATAAAGTATTAGCATGTGCGGAAATGGACAGGCTCACAATGATATTAAAAGACAAATGTGGATCAGTTTATTATGAAACCCGGGATAAATTTTTACCGCTGGAGGAATTCGAAGAGGAGAGTTGGGATTAAAGATGAATATCAAGATAGAAATATATGTTATTTTAGAACAAGTATTGTATATACAACTTAGATGTATATGTAGAGATGAAGAATTGATTGTAAAAAGTGGAATAATCGGATAAGACTGTGTATACTGGAATGTCACGTTAAATCCAATGTTTGTTTGTTTTTAACTGTATTATAAATAAATAAATAAAAAGAACGACAGCAGTGCTACAGTCGATAAAGTTGCCCACCTGTCTATTGACTTAGGTGCCAACCACTGAAACTATCAAAAGGACTTTCTGCTTTCTGAGCAGCTGTTGGGCCGACGAAGCAAAACAACCCAGATCAACGGTCTCTGAAGATCCCTTTCTCTGCGTTCCCCAGAGAGTGACTCTCGTGCTGATTTTCCATCTCCTGATCTCTGAGAAAGGCAACAGGGTGTCAAGCAGATGAGGCTGGCCAGCCACCGCACACGTATGTGTCGTAGCACCCAAGCCGGCGGCTGTGTTGTTCTGCCTGCCATCTGTGCGCGGGGGTGTGGAAAACGACTGGAGAGAGGCTTCACATATGTGGCCCTCGAAACACACACCACAGGGTGTGAAAGAAACAATGCCCTGGGGCTGAGCCCAAAAGCTTGATGCTTGACCGGGGTGAGTGCGTGGGTTGCAAATATTCTGGCACATGGTGTGGGGGGGGGTAGAGGTCAAAAGCTGACCAGGTGCCCCCTTTTCTCTCTTGGTGGCCCTCTTGTCCTTTTCCCCTTAAGGAACAGATGCAAAATTCCTTCAGACCCACAACGAACCATGCAATCTCTTTTCTTTAGCCCCGTGCAAAATTTTCAAAACTCCCCGTAAAGTTGGCAGAACAGAGATGAAGCTGGAGGATGCCCAGGACTTGAGCCAGCCTCCTGGGGGGATCGAGGTCTCCAGACCCTCCTCGTGGTTCATAATCGGTACGGTCCCTGTTGCAGCTCCAATCTAGCCAAGGCTTCATGGTCCAGTTTTGGGGTGCTGCCAGATCTGGGGTTGACGAGAGGGCAATTCCAGGCAATCGTTGAGGAAGCCTGCAGCCATGCCGAGGCTTAGCAGCTTGGCCCACCCAGACACCCCCCAGTTTCTTGCGTTGGGAGGGCTTGTGGGAGGCAAAGCGTCTGGCCTGAGATCTGCTGGTTCCTTTTTTTTTGAAAAGCCGACATCTGTGGGTGATATTTTCCGTCAGGGCCTGAAACCGGTTCCTGCCTTTGTCCTATTGTGAAAAGCCACCACAGTTTGCAAGGCTCTCTCTCTTACTGGTGACGCCCTGCCATGCCGTTTCGCACCTCCCTCTCCTTCACACCCAAATATCTCGGTCTGGGGGGGGCTCTCTCCCCCCCCAGAACGCCCTGCCACCCCCTCCCTGAGCCCCAAAGTGTGACAATGGGCCCATGTGTTCCGTGGGGGGGGTGAGGAATTCAAAGGGGGCGGAGGGGACAATGGGGCCCTGTCTGGGCCACTCGTCTCCTCGGCGGGACCAGGGTCGGAGGGCCGTGACTCATGCCAGGGGATGAAATGCCAGGGGGCACGGGGGCTTTGCCATGCTGCAGGGGTGTGTGGAAGCCATCCAAGAGAGGTGGGGACTTGGCAGCTCCAGATCTCCCCCCCCCCACCAACCCCAGCCACCATCCAAGCCAGCCCAAGTCGACAACTTCACTGCGATCAGCAGCTTCTGGTCTGGAGTCTCCAGGCTGGCTGAGGATACAGAGAGCCACGGAAACAGGTAGCTGGTGCAAGAGGTCTGTGAGCATGTGTGAGCTGCTGGATAGGCTTTTAGGGCACGGATCCTGATCACGCATGTATACTGCACTGTGAAGAGGGCAGAAAAAATGTAATCTGTAGGAGCTGCTCCTGTTTTAGGGATCTGAGTTGCAAATCTCTGGATCGCCAGCGGGGGCAGCAACTTTTGAGTGCTCTCCCTGGCTGTGGCGCCCTCTAGGGGCCATCCAGAGCCTTGCAGCTCAGCCCTAACTGTTTTCCTGCCCTCTCAGCTCTTCTGCCTTTAATTGGGTCTCAAGAGCTTGAAGTGGGAGCTTCTTCTCGGCTGCAGAAGGAAGACCCTTTGCTCTTTGTGTGTGTGTGTGTGTGTGGTCTGTGTGCCTGTGTGTGCGTGCGCATACATGTTGTCAGCATTTAGGTCATAGATGGCAAAACCTTTGTCTATGCCGTAGCATGGGGAAAATCTGTGAATTTTGAGTAAGATCCTGCAGAGGATGCTCTGTGTTGTCATCGAATTTCCTGGGTGTGTTTTGCAAATTGTGACACACACACACACACACACACCCCTCCCCCCACTGCAGAGCTGTGGTTTCTGGAGAAGCCAAGGGATGACTGGGAGGCCCTTCTGAATGGAGGGGTGAGGATTCCAGGGGAACCCCTTTCGGCTGGCCAAGCATTAGGAGGGGTCCAAAGAGACAGGAAGAGACAGATTTCCTACCCCCTCCGTTGGCTTTATTGTATTTTATTGTTGCCTTGCTTAACATTTCTTCTTCGCTCCCACAGGTCCTGGTGTCTGGAGGCTTTCCGGTGCGCTGGGAAATGGGGAAGCTAGCCACCGTGCCCATTGTCCTGCTTTGTGGGAAATTCCTTGTAATTTTCCTTCTCAAAGAAACGCTCAGCCAGAGCAAGCAACGAGAGGGGTAAGGCGATTTAGAAAGAAGGGAACAAAATGGTGAACAATATAGAGCTCCTACCGCAGTCAGAAGGTTCAAGCACTGAGCAGTTCCTCTTTATTGTTCTTGGGAAGCATCTGAAAAATTGAGTTAGGCCTTGAAAACAATCTACAGACCTGTTTGCGTAAAAACACAAGACTGGATTGAATTAACCACTGTGGTTGGCTGCTGTTGAACTGGGTGTGCTGTGCTAGTTAACTCAGCGAATGAGAGTGAAGATGCAAAAAAAAAAAAAAAAAGGGAAGTCCCGTTCTTTTGACAGGAAATAGTACGGTATCTGTGGAACTCATTGTCACAAGAATATCCTGAGGATTGCGGCCGTTTATTTATTTTTTTTAAAAGAAAGATTCATCAACTAGGAGAACTACTGATAATTCCTAGTTGTTCTTTTTTCTTCTCGTGGCACAGCTCTTGCTAAATTCTGCAGCTTTTTGAATACAGGTAGTCCTCAAATTATGCGAATATTTGAAGTTCTGATGGACCTAGCTGGAAGTTACTTAAAACCCAGATTTGAAGTTCTTATGACTAACCCCGCCTGCAATCATGTGCTCACGCTTCGGGTGCACAGCAACCAGCCTCTATTTACGGCCGTTTGCAGTGTCCGACAGTGACGTAATCACGTTTTAAGACAGTTTTGTCAAAAATTGGCTTTTACTTCTGATTTTGGCAAATTCACACCCAGAGCAAACCATTAGTCCGCTTAAGAACTGCGTTGTTTGCTTAACGACCAGGCTGATTTGCATTGTGACCATCGCAAAAAAGGTCATAAAATCAGGTCAGTTATTTGCTTTACAATTGTCATGAGTTACGACCTTGATGGGTAGAGTCCATTACGGTCATAACTTGAGGACTATCTGTAGTAGTGATCATTGTTAATATTACAATCCATTGATTGTGTTCTTGGAAAGTTTTTTGAAAGTGGTTTGCCCTTGCCTTCTTCCTCCAGCTGAAAGAGTGACTGGCCCTAAGTCAGTCAGGTGACTTTGTACCTAAGGCAGGACTTGAACTCACAATCCCCCACTGTTCAATCTAGCAACTTGGACTAACACCGTATATCCTTACGGCTCTCATAATAGTGGTAATTTTTTAAATTAATGATTTGATTCTGTGCCATCAAATTGGTGTCAGCTCTTGGTGGCCTCCCTAGATAGATCTTTTCTCGGAAACCCGGGTAATCCTCGACTTATGACCACGATTGAGCCCAAAATTATTTGTTAAGTAAACTTTGCCCCATTTTACGACCTTTTTTGCAACAGTTGTTAAGTGAATCACTGCAGTTGTTAAATTAGTAACATGATTGTTAATCTGGCTTCCCCCACTGACTTTGCTTGTCAGAAGGGACACGGTAACCGTCATAAATATGAGTTGGTTGCCAAGCGTCTGAATTTTGATCACGGGACCATGGGGATGTTGCAAAGGTCGTAAGTGTGAAAAATGATCATAAGTCACTTTTTTCAGTGCTGTTGTAACATTGAACAGTCACTAAATGAATTGTTATAAGTCGAGGACTACCTGGGGTAATGATACCCATGGAAACTGGGAGTCAAGCTATTTTCCAAAGCGCCTGAGGGCAGGACAAGAAGCAACAGATGGAAACTAATCAAGGAGAGAAGCAACTTAGAACTAAGGAGAAACTTCCTGACAATTAGAACAATTAGCCAGTGGAACAACCTGCCTCTAGAAGCGGTGAATGCTCCAACACTGGAAGTTTTTAAGAACAGACTGGACAGTCATTTGTCTGAAATAGTATAGGGTTTCCTGCCTGAGCAGAGGGTTGGACTTGATGACCTCCAAGGTCCCTTCCAACTTTATTATTACTATCAATCATTGCACAGTCAGCCAGATGTTCAGACTGGATTTGGCATTTTGTCTACCTATTGAGTCCTTACCCAGGACCTGGGATAGGCAGATGTGGATGTTTGATGGTATTACAGATATCGTCGCAGGATGGAAGCAGTTCCTAATAAGGCCGCCTTTTGCAATTGACTAATAGCGAATTTGTCAATGCCAATTGTGTTCAAATGGTGCTCCAGTTGTTTTTGGATTGCACCCAAGGCGCCTATGACTATTGGTACTACCCTTGCTTGCTTTTGCCACAGTCTTTCTATTTCTATTTGTAGGTCTTTGTATTTTGTTATCTTCTCCAGTTCTTTCTCTTCTATTCTGCTATCTCCAGGCACTGCCACGTCCACTATCCAGACTTTTTGTCTTTCTTATCGACAATTGTTAAGTCTGGGGTGTTATGTTGCAGGTGCTTGTCTGTTTGAATTCTGAAGTATTATTATTATTATTATTATTATTATTATTATTATTATTATTATTATTATTTACTTTGCTCTCCAGCAGGCAACTATTTAAAAGTAGAAAAAAAATTATGCTTGAAAAAAATGTTAATTCTCTATTGACTATTGCCCACAACTACTAATTTGTCTTCATATGAGCACATCTGACACTCATAGAGTAAAAGTAATATTTATTTCTCTGTTATGGATTTATCAGAACAGAAGTAGTTGGAAGTACATAAATTGCAAATTGCTATGAAAAAGTTGAATCAAAGCAACTGGATATTAAAAAAAGAACACCTCAGATAGAGACAGCTGGTTTGCCTACAATTTAAAACAGATTTTTTTTTTTCCTCTTCGAGAGACTTTGATAAACATTATGTGTGGTAAATAATCATTTCTATTCAGCTTTATTTCAAATGCGGCAAATCAAAGTACTGTCCCAAAGGTGCTTTTTTTCAGGAGGCAACTGGATTTCTTGTTTTTCTTTGAAGACGTTTCGCTTCCCATCCAAGAAGTTTCTTCAGCTGGTTGGTGGGAAATGGAAGGATCCAGTCAGGGCTGAAGAAGCTTCTTGGGTGAGAAGCGAAAAGTCTTCAAAGAAAAACAAGAAAGTCCAGTTACCTCGTGAAAAAAGCACCTTTGGGACAACTATCACCTGGATGACTGACTAGGGCAGGGGTAGGCCACCTTGGCTCCTTTATGACTCGTGGACTTCAACTCCCAGAATTCCTGAGCCAGCATGGTTCAGCTTGGAAACCTCTCCCTTTCCCCTCAGCATGGCTGGCTCAGGAATACTGGGAGTTGAAATCCACGAGTCATAAAAACAGCCAAGGTTGCCTACCCCTGTCCTAGGGCTAAGAAGGACTGACGGGCCCAAGGTCACCCAGCTGGCATTGTGCCCAAGGCAGGACTAGAACTCACAGTCTCCTTCCAGGACTAGAACTCAAGAGTTTCCTGGTTTCTAGGCTGGTGCTTTCACCGCTATATCAGACTGGTTGCGTAACAGAAATTAGCTAAGGATAAAACCAACTCCTGCTACTCTAGGTTTTTTCTGATCAATTCTGTATGGATTAGAAGAGACAATTTTGCTTTTTCAATGTCCTTCCATTTCTACACGCAGCCGTGTGTGTGCCCGAAATACGTTGAGGATCCCCCTAGCCTACAATGAGACGTATGCCAAGCCCCAACACCATCCATATTTGACGCTGTGCCCAGGACCTCGAGTGTGCAGTACTTACAGGTATGAACGATCAAAGTTTTGGTCCTAAATCTGTGGCCAAGGAGAGGGAGAATTACAACGCAGCATTCCTATTTAATGCAATTTTTTTTTTAAGATCAGCTCCCCCAATGCTTGTCAAGTCTAGGTATTTGTCGTCCACTGTTCCCAAGTAATATTTCCAATTATAAATGGATTTCAGGTGTTTCAAGAGGGATCAGTCTAAAGCAACATCCAATGGCATGCAAGGATTGTGCAACATTTCCAACAAGCAAAGTCAATGGGGGAAGATGGATTTGCCTAACAACTGTGGCTAAAAAAAAGTCATAAAAATGACCTTAGGAGCCGTAGTGGCACAGTGGTTAGAATGCAGCATTGCAGGCAAACTCTGCCGACTGCCAGGAATTCGATCCTGACCGAACTCCATCTTTCCATCTTTCCAAAGTCGATAAAATGAGGACCCAGATTATTGGGGGAGCAATATGCCAACTCTGTAAACCGCTTAGAGAGGGCTGTAAAGCACTGTGAAGCGGTATATAAGTCTAAGTGCTACTTCTATTGCTCTGTCTACTCTGCTCAGGAGAATGAACATGGCTTCTCTTTTGTAGGACGACCTACCGGGTAGCCACGCGACAGGTGCGGAAAGAGATCCTACAGGCCAACATCATTTGCTGCCCAGGATGGAAGAAACGTCACCTGGGGGACACGAAGTGCGAGGAAGGTGAGTGATCAAATCCCAGAGAACAATTTCCAGTGGACTTTCTAGGTGCTAAATACAAGAGATGGTTAACAGAGGGATTTCAAGATTAGTGGAATGTTTAGCTTAACGCCAGGGGTAGGCAACCTTGGCTCTTTTATGACTCGTGGACTTCAACTCCCAGAATTCCTGAGCCAGCCAGAAGTCCACGAGTCATAAAAGAGCCAAGGTTGCCTACCCCTGGCTTAACCTGTTGGCTGTTCTTTCTTCTTTTATATATATATTAGCAGCTGCGTTGCTGTGGCTCAGTCTGGTTAAATGGAAAAGAAAGAAAAGAGAAAGCACACGTTTGTAATATGTTTAATTTCACAATGCATGTGGGTATACAATATTTTTTGTTGTTCCATTGTCTGTGCAGATATTGAGATTGTCTGGTTTGCCGGCACTGTTTTTCAAAAAAAAGCATGTTTTTACCTGTCACAGGTGTGACATCTATATAATAGTAGGCATATAAAAACACGCACGTATTCAAATGCAACGTTGTGTCAAAATTTCAAAGCAATCGTTGAACAACTTTCGGAGATTTAAGATTTTGAACAAACGAACATTTACATTTTTATTTATATATAGGTGTAGGTATGTATGTATGTAAAAGGGGAGGATTTATAGTTTTTTCTTTTTTTCAGCATCTAGCCAGGGTGGATTCTATATGTTAAATTTTAATATTTTTTTTTGGTATTTGGATCACCGTTTTTCTCTTTTTTTGTACACCGATTTTGTTGTTATCGTTGACACAGGACATATCTTTTTGTTTTGTTTTGTTTGCTTGCTTTTCTGATTTGCATTTTATGATAAAACGAAGTAAATATACTTAAAAACACAAAAGAACAATTTCCAATGTACCATTAGGGAGGAAGAAAGACGCCCCTTCTGTGCTGGCTGATTGGAGTTATCCAAGCTTTCAACAGTGGATATTCCCAGCTAAATAAAAAGAGAATATTTGTAGCTCCTGGTTGAAATCGGGGGTCCTTGGTGCTCTCTGAGCTTGGTTGTTTTCTTGCAGACATTTCGTTACCCAAACTAGATAAACGTCATCCGTGCTAGAAGAGAGCGGCTGAAGGTTTTCTTGTTAGTTCCTTGATTAAGCTTAGTAAACAAATGTTGGGCTTCATTGTGGTCATAAATCGGGAACTCTCTGTACCGCAGCTTAGCCAACTAATTTTTCAAAACAAAAAAGGTATCTCTCCACATAGGCAAACAAAGCAACATCTCTTGAGGCTAATGAATATGCTTGGTGCACTAAAAGTATGGATACACGCGGTGAGCCTTCCCTTCTCCTTTCTCCCACCAGCCACTTGTCACAAGTCATGTCAGAATGGAGGTAGCTGCATCCAACCAAATAAGTGCCAGTGTCCGCCTGGCTGGGGTGGACGGTATTGCCAGATTGGTGAGTGGAAGGCAGGAGTCGTGTGTGTGTGTGTGTGTGTGTGTGTGTGTGTGTGTGTGTGTGTGTGTTTGGTTTCTGGTCCTGCTTCTTCTCTCTTTGCTCAGATTTTTCTGGGTCTCCTTCTTCTCATACCAGGCTGATAGGCGGGGTTTCTAGTTTCACGTGGGCAAAAATCTGACAAGTGAGCCGTGGATTAAAAAATAAAAAAGGTTGCTAGTCCTTAGGATGGCTGAGGCTTTATGATTGGAAAATACAACCAGCGTGCATAGAAGGGATCAAGTGGCTCTTGCACGACTACAGTCCTTCACACAGTGCTTCCCCAACCAGGGTAAATTACCCCAAATTGAATAAAAGTGTGTTGAAGGAAAAAACTTCATCAGGGTCCAGTCCAAGCCGGGAATAGACAATGTGGAGACTGCTTTAGAAAGAAGGTTGTAGCTTATTGAAGAGGAGAGCCAGGCAGAAAGATGGCTCTAGAACAGTGGTTCTCAACCTTTTTAATGCCACAACCCCCAACCGGTTGTAAGTCGAGGACTACTCAACCGGTCGTAAGTCGAGGACTACTCAACTGGTGCAGCACCATTTGCAGAATGGGACTTTTGGCGGGCTCAGCAGGACAGAGACAGCCTGGACAATTCCTATTGGCTTTTGAAAGCCAATAGAATTAGACTCTATTCAAGAGAGTCTATTCTATTGGCTTTGAAAAGCCAATAGAATAAAAGGGAGTAGCACAGCTAAGGAAAAGGGGGAAAAAATGGCGGGCTGTGTTGTTTGGCGACCCCCGTGAAATGGTCGTTCGACCCCAAATGGGGTCCCGACCCACAGGTTGAGAACCACTGCTCTAGAAAAAGAGATCACATGGGCTTTTATACCTTCTGGGGCTCTTGAGGTTGTTTCCTGTTCCTGTTTGAGGCTTTGTATTTCCTGTGTCATGTACTTTGACCTAAGTCTGAGTGTGCCCTTCTGATATTCTGATGGTGGTGGGCTAATCCTATTACGACCCAAAGGTCATATCCTGCTTCCCTGGGGCTGTGGCTCATGACTGTTGGATTTTTGGTGTGAGGGATTCTTGATTCTAGGGATCTTTCTTTCTAATCCCAGCTTCCTGACTCCAATCTTTCTGACAAGATTATCACATCTGCATTTCTGCAGACCTGGTTTCTGTCTTGGGCAGAGAGACTTGGTGGGTGGGTGGGGGTTGGTTTTTGACTTTAAAATCCTTTGGGGAAATATATTCTGTCTTTTTAATATTTCCCAAAATATTTCTTTCTCTGGATTCTTCCTACAAGTGGTTTTTGTTTGAGTAATGGCATACAAACCTTTTACCCATCACAACATGTTTTTTTTTCCCCTGCAGTTAAAACAGATATTATGAAGTGTTTTCTTTTCAATCAGTTAAATTTTTCAAGCCACTGCTTGTCTATGTTTCTGGATAACTACAAGTAGTCCTCGACTTACGTCTAGAATTGAGCCCAACGTTTCTGTTGCTAAACAAGACAGTTAAGGCTTTTGCCCTCTTTTACGATCTTTCTTGCCACAGTTATTAAGTTAGTCACATGGCTGTGAAGTGAATGCGGCTTCCCCATTCACTTTGCTTGTCAGAAAGTCGCAAGAGAGGGGATCACAGGACCCCCAGGACACTGCGACCGTCATAAATGTGAGTCAGTTGCCAAGGTTCTGAATTTTGATCACGTGACCCCGGAGAGGCCGCAATGGTGGTAAGTGTGAAAAATAGTTGTAAGTCACTTTTTTCGACGTCACTTCGAACAGTCGCTAAACGAACGGTTGTTAAGTCGAGGACTGCCTGTAACAAGGGTTAAAAACAGTACAATTGTTAAAACAAGGGCATTCTAGGGATGGGGGGGTATCTGGTGAAGGTCCCTTAATGCCCTAGCCAGGGGTAGGCAACCTTGGCTCCTTTATGACTTATGGACAGCCAGCCATGCTGACTCAGGAATTCTGGGAGTTGAAATCCACAAGTTATAAAAGGGCCAAGGTTGTCTACCCCTGCAGGGCCTAGCCCAGGGGTAGGCAGCCTTGGCTCTTTTATGACTCGTGGACTTCAACTCCCAGAATTCCTGAGCCAGTCCACGAGTCATAAAAGAGCCAAGGTTGCCTACCCCTAGCCTAGCCAAATACAATGGTTACCATTCTTGATCAGAATGGTGCACGTATCAGGAAGAATATCGTTCCAGAGGCCAAGATTTAGCCAAGATTTGACCAGATATAGATATCCCAATCAAAACTCATTATTCTGATCACTCTTTAATTTGTGGCTTCGGTTTGTTTAGATGTGGACGAGTGTGTCATGCCGCTTGCTCGCTGCGCACAAGACTGTCTTAACACTGCTGGCAGCTACAAGTGCCAGTGTCGGGCTGGGTACGCCCTGGAGCCAGATGGCAAGGGCTGTCGTCTGCTTCCCACCGGCCAGGCGGTCCCTCTGCTCGGCACCAAAGGTGGGTATTACGATGACTGAGAGCTTGCAGTGTGAAAAGGCAAAGGATGGAAATGAACCAAGGAGAGAACCAACCTAGAACAAAGGAGAAATTTCCTCACAGTGAGAACCAACCAGTAGAACAGTTTTGCCTTCAGAAGTTGTGGCTGCTCCAACACTGGAGGTTTTTATTATAATTTAGAGCTGGAAGGGACCTTGGAGGTGTTCTAGTCCAGCCTCAAGCAGGAGACTCGTCTATACCATTTTAGACAGTTGGCTTTCCAGTCTCTTCTTTAAAATCTCCTGTGATGAAACTCCCACAGCATCTGAGGGCAAAGTTGTTCCACTGATTAATAGATCTCCCTGTTAGGAAGTTTCTCCTTAATTCCAGAGAGTTGCTTCTCTCCTTGATTAGTTTCCATCATTTCTTGTCTTGCCTTTTGGTGTTTTGGAAAAAATAAGTTGACCTCCTCTTCTTTGTGGTAGCCCCTCAAATACTGGAATACTGCTATCATGTCACCCCTAATCCTTCTTTTCTCTAGACTGGCCAAACCCAATTCCTGCAACCGTTCTTCATATGTTTTTGTCTCTTAATCATCTTAGTTGTTCTTCTTTGCCTTTCTTCTAAAATCTCAACAACTCTTTTGTAGTGTGTGACCAAAACTGGATGCAGTATTCCAGTGTATAATAATAATAATAATAACAACAACAACAACAAGAGGAAGAAGAGCAAGAAGAAGAAGAAGAAGAAGAAGAAGAAGAAGAAGAAGAAGAAGAAGAAGAAGAAGAAGAAGAAGAAGAAGAAGAAGAAGAAGAAGAAAAGAAGAAGAAGAAGAAGAAGAAGAAGAAGAAGAAGAAGAAGAAGAAGAAGAAGAAGAAAAGAAGAAGAAGAAGAAGAAGAAGAAGAAGAAGAAGAAGAAGAAGAAGAAGAAGAAGAAGAAGAAGAAGAAGGAGGAAGGGACCTTGGAAGTCATCCAGTTCAACCCCCTGCTCAGGCAGGAAACCCTATACCAGTGATGGTGAACCTTTTAGAGACCGAGTGCCCTAAAACCACCCCCCACCCCTGTCCATGCTCCACTGCGCCCACTGGGCCACCCACCATCTTCACAGCCCACCACAGATCACCTGTGCCTGACGTGGCGCAAGGGCGGAATCTTCTCCCTGCTGCCCAGCTACCATGTCCTTGGCTGCGCTGCTTTGCGTGGGCCATGCCCAGGGGCAACCTCCTCCGGGGGGCTGCTGGTGAGGAGGGGGCCGTGGGAGGAGGCAAAGCTAGGGTGACAGTGCGTGTGCCCACAGAGAGGGCTCCGAGTGCCACCTCTGGCACGAGTGCCATAGATTCGCCACCACTGCTTTAGGAGAACCGTTTCGTGTGGGCCATCAAGAGCCAGCTGATGACCTTGGGAATGTATTTTGAATTCCTTTTCTGCATGGCTGAAGTGTTAGTGAAACTCCGAAGCGGCTGACAGTTGTTTAGCAGTGCCTGTTTCATATTTCTACCAACTTTCACATCCTCATCTCACAGCAGAGCAGAACCTTGCCCAACAGCTGAGACTTTCCTTTGGACTCAGCAAACAGCTGGTTGATGTATGACACAGGAGGAAGTGGCAGAAACCCCCAGAGCTATCATGGAGCTGCACAAGAGAGAATCTCAAAGGACACTGAATGTCATGCTTTAGCAGCAAACAGTCTCAGGAATAGAACAGAGCTGGAAGGGACCTTGGAGATCTTCTAGTCCAACCCCCTGCTCAGGCAAGAGAACCTGTCCTATACCATCTCAGACAAGTGACTGTCTGACCTCTTCTTAAAAATCTCCAGTGATGGAGCACCCACAGTTTCTGGAGGCAAGCTGTCCCACTGGTTAATTGTCCTCACTGTCAGGAAGTTTCTCCTTAATTCTGGTGTGTTGGTGAATAACGTGACCCCCTCTTCTTTGTGGCAGCCTCTCAAATACTGGAATACTGCTATCATGTCACCCCTGTTTCTTCTTTAGACTAGCCAAACCCAAGTCCTGCAGCCATTGGATCATCTTAGTTGCTCTTCTCTGAACTTTTTCCAAGGTCTCAACATCTTTTTGTAGTATGGTGACCAAAACTGCTTGCAGTATTCCAGGTGTGGTCTCACGAGGGTTTATAAAGCGGTACTAATACTTTGCATGATCTTGATTCTATGCCTCTGTTTATACAACCCAGGATTGTATTAGCTTTTTTGGCTGCTGCTGCACATTGCTGGCTCATAGCCAAGTGATCGTCCACTAGGACTCCACGGTCCCTCTCACAGTTACTGTTTTTGAGCCAGGTCTCGCCTAATCTGTACTTATACCTTTGATTTTTCTGCCTAAATGTAAAACTTTGCTTTTCTCTACATTAAAACTCATTTTGTTGGATGGGGCCCTTTGTTCCACTTTGTCAAGATCTTTTTGAATCCTGAGCTTGTCTTCTGGGGTGTTGGCTATTCCTGCTAGTTTAGTGTCGTCTGCAAATTTGATAAGTTCCCCTTCAATTCCCTCATCTAAGTCATTGATGAAGATCTTGAAGAGTACTGGGCCTAAGACGGAGCCTTGTGGTACCCCACTGCTTACTTCTCTCCATGTGGATGTAGTACCATTGAGGACTACTCACTGAGTACGGTTTGTCAGCCAGCTACAAAGCCCTCTGGTGGTGATGTTGTCTATTATTCCACCTTTTTCTAGCTTACCAAGCAGTAGATCGTGGTCTACTTTGTTGAATGCCTTTCTGAAATCTAAGCATACTATGTCCACAGCGTTTCGCTAGTCTACTAATTTGATCACTTTATCAAAGAATGAAATAAGATTAGTTTGGCATGATCCAGTTCAATGGCTTGCTGGGTTGGGGTTCCCCCCCCCCGACTCGTTTTTGAAAGCTCCAGGATCGGCAAGGCGATTTTTGCGAAGGACGGGATAAACTGGCGGTAGAAATTTGCGAACCCTAGAAAGCTTTGCAACTGTGCTTTCAGTAGTGCTGAAGTGATGTACTCAATAAAATTTTACATTAAGAGATCGGAATGTCTCAAAGGTATTGGCTTGGTTGGGTTTGTCAGTCGGAACCTCGACACTGCAGGCATCACCTTGTTCTTGTTTTAAACAGTCCGGTCTGTGTCATTTAGCTGCACAACAAGAGTTATGACAGCCCAGGCTGCATCTGTTGCTTAATAGTAGTAGTAGTATTAGTAGTAGTAGTAATAATAATAATAATAATTGGAAGGGATCTTGGAGGTCATCTAGTCCAATCCCCTGCTCAGGCAGGAAACCCTATACCATTTCAGACAAATGGCTGTCCAGTTTCTTCTTAAAAACTTCCAGTGTTGGAGCATTCACCGCTTCTGGAGGCAAGTTGTTCCACTGGTTAATTGTTCTAACTGTCAGGAAGTTTCTCCTTAGTTCTAGGTTGCTTCTCTCCTTGATTAGTTTCCATCCATTGCTTCTTGTCCTGCCTTCAGGCGCTTTGGAGAATAGCTTGACTCCCCCTTCTTTGTGGCAGCCCCCAAGATATATTGGAGCACTGCTATCATGTCCCCTCTCGTCCTTCTCTTCATTAACCTAGATATACCCAATTCTTCTTTGGTTGCACTGAGGTGCAGATCATGAGGGCTAAAATGCGGTGAGAAGGTGATGCGTTCAGTTTCACAACTTTTCTCCATACAAAAAGGAAATGCTCTTCGCCAGCAACAGAGTTGAGAGTTTCACATTATAGTTGGATATTGTTAGACTTGTGTAATTTGCAACTGCTCCATAAATAAGGCTGACTGGGTGTTGAGCGTAGTAGTTGAAGAACCTGTTTTCTTTTGCGGAAACAAGTTTCTAGCCCCTAAGATTTCACAAAGCTTGTGCATACATTATTGTTTTTTTAAGTTTCTAGTCTGCTTTTCCTCTGGAGGCTTTTGATTCTGAGAAGGAAGTGAAGACGCTGCTTGGGCATAAAAATGAGAGAGAAATCAAATTGCTTTGTTAAAAAAAATATATCAAAGCAATTCTAGATATATTTGTAAGAAAATGGAGCACTCCTAGATCAGCGAGTCTGAGGTTTGATAAAACTCACATGGGATTACACCTGCGGGGTCCTGAAACCAGGTTAACATCTGTCAACTCTCCGTAGATAAAACAATCCATGTGCCTGTTTTGATACAGCTCAACTCACATTTTCTTCATGTTTCTCTTGCAGTGCAAACTTTAGGGATTCAGGAGACAATTCCCAATGAGATCCAGGAACTCCAAGCAAAAGTAGAACAGCTGGAAGAGGTGAGTCCTATTCTGTAAAATCTTTGTATTCCTGTCTGGACCAGCATTTGTCAGCTTTGAGAAGTTTAAGAAGTGCTGACTTCTCCTGTAAAGATGCTAAGAAAAAGACTCAGGCATGCCTTGAGCAGAGATTTGAAGCTGCTGCAGAGCTGCTTGTCACAGCCTGAGACAGCTTGAGAGTCTCTGTGTTTATTGGTTTTTATATACTTTTTACATACATAGGCTTTACCATTAAATGCTGACATTTTACATTCATAAGTTTAACCATTAGATGCTGACATAAAGTTTCTTCATTGGAAAATTCCTTCATATAAGCAACTATTTTCTAGTAACACATTACATGATCAAAGACCAGGTAAAGAACAAATACAGGTAGATCAAAAGGAGAGAGAACTGACAAAGACAGGAAGAGATAGGAAGGAACTTCAACTCCATGCTGGCTGGGGAATAAGCATATTATCTATTTAAGTAGGTAAGGTATTAAGTCAAAAGGGGATGACCTTTTGGCTGCTTCATTGGGACAAAGGGTATCAAGAGGTTATGAGGTTTGTGAGGGGGAAAGCATGGCAGTTTGCTGCACGTGCAATTTCCCCCACATTCTCCTCCCAGAATTCCCCAGCCAGCATGGAGTTGAAGTCCACACAATCTTAAAGACACCAAGATGGAACAACAGTGCTCTAAACTAGGGATGTCCAATCTTGGCGACTTTAAGACCTGTGGACTTCAATTCCCAGAATTCCCCAGCCAGCCATGCTGGCTGGGGAATTCTGGGAGTTGAAGTCCACAGGAATGAAAGTTGCCAAGCTTGGCACCCTTGCTCTAAAACTCTCAGACTTTATTTCTTTTCCAGATAAATAGAGGCAGTCCTTGACCTATGACCAACATTGGAATCAGAATGTCCATTTCTAAGCATGGCAGTTGTCACATGAGTTGAATCCGATTTTACAACTTTTTGGTCATGGTTGCTAAGCGAATCACCGCAGTTGTTAAGTAAATTATGTGGTGCTGAAGCGAATCCAGCTTCCCCCATTGACTTCGCTTGTCGACAGCCAACTGGGAAGGTTGTAAATGGCGATCACATGACCACTGGATGCTGTAACTGTTACAATGTATGTGCCGGTTGCCGAGGGACCAAATTTCGGGGGGATGCCGTGACGGTGATAAGTGCAAGGACCGATGGAAGGCAGTTTTTTCAGGGCCCTGGTAACTGTACAGTGGCTAAATGAACGGTTGCAAGTCAAGGACTTGGGATTGGACAGCTTTACGGAATTTAGTATAAATCAGAATTTATCCTCGGGAAGATTTTGGTTCAGGATCCTTAGAATTTCTATGGAGATTCTCATTCATAGGTCATAGCTGGAACTGCTGAACTCCTCCCTCAAAATTGAACAGCCCTCTCTCAACAGAGGGGGAGGGATACGACATCATCTACCGTGTTTCCCCAAAAGTAAGGCCTACACCAAAAATAAGCCCTACCTTGATTTTGTGGGATGGGCTTAATATAAGCCCTACCCCTAAAATAAACCCTAGTTCTGGGTCAAGGCACACCTAAAAATCAAGCTAGGGCGGGGATGGGGATGCAAAGCTGTCCCACCCACCCTGCAGCCAGGTCTCTCCTTGCCGGCCCACTTCTTCTTCTGAGGCCTCTTCTGCAGCCAGGCCTGCATTTCACAGTCACAGGGCTTTCTGGAAGGCCTGTGCAGCCAAGAATCGAGCTATGGATTCAATCTGTAGCTCAGTTCTACAAGACCTCAGCAGCCGAGCACCAAGCTATGGATTGAATCCATAGCTTGGTACTCAACTGTTTAGGCCTTCTGGAAAGGCCAGACTGCAAAATGCAGGCCCGAATGCAGCTGCAAAACTTTGGCCCCAGAAGAAGTGGACCGACTGGGTGGGGATGTCAGTGCTGGAGGTGAGGTAAGGCCTACCCTGATAATAAGATCTGGTGCCTCTTTTGGAGGCAAAAAAAAAAAAAAAAAGGACTTGGTCTTATTTTCTGGGAAACACGGTATCTCCAGTCTACAACATAGTCCTTTCAGTAGTTCCAAGAAGGCTCCACACCCATTTGCAGTACTCAGGCGACCCTGAGGATGCAGATGAATCTTCAACTGGCCTCCATGACTCTCTAAAAGAATGCAAATGACCAGCTCTCTGCAAGGGATATAAATCCTTCCATTCCCCGCCATCCAGCCAGAGCTGAAGAAGCTTCTTGGATGAGAAGTGAAACGTCTTCAAAGGAAGAACCAGTTGCCTCGTGAAAAAAGCATTTATGGGATCCTTAGAATTCTTTTACTGCTCTGAAAACATGCATCCTGTCTTGATCCAGGCTGGGTAAACTTTGAGTTAGGGAGAGTTAAAATTGTAGCCATCTTGCTTTACAAAGCTACCTTCAGTGAGTTTTGCCACAGGCTAGTCTTGAAAAGTGTCTGGAATTTGCAATTGGCCCAAAAGGAAGCAGCCCAAACTGCTAACCACTGCAAATTACAGAAAGGCATGGACTTTATTGGCTATATCACTTACCTCCCCAGCCTAATCTGATACACTGATAAAAACTCCTACACAGGTATTTTTCAACTTATGACCATAACGGAGCCCTGCCCATCATGCTTAGTAACTGGTGATGGTTGCAAAATTTTATGTCCTTTTTTGGGGTGGTTAAACGAATGCGGCAGTTCCTGTTTTGCTACGGGCTTGGTTTGGCTGAAAACTGGAAGTAAACTGGAAGTAAATGCTGGTTTTTGGGGAAAAAATCATCATAAAATATGGTCGGGGAGGGCAACCATTGGAAATTTGAATCTGGGTTGTAAGTAGTCCCAAGGTAAATTCTGTTGTAACTTTGGTCGCTAAGCAACTGGTCATAAGCCAAGGTCTACTGCAGGGGTCTTCAAACATGCTGGCTGAGGAATTCTGGGAGTTGAAGTCCACAAGTCATAAAAAGGCCAAATTTGAAGACCCTGGTCTACTGTATGGCAGAACTGCCTTTGCTGCTAAGAACCAGCCTATTTTAATTGGTAGGAGAGGTCCCTATAAGCATTAATGATATGGGGGAAAGGATCTTCAGTGGGTCTCAGGTGTGGCACAGGCTCCTACAGGTATTGTCCTTTCTTGGTATTTAGAAAGAGAGTAACAACACATCTTTCCCTTAGAACAGTGGTTCTCAACCTTTTTATACCGGCGACCCCGGTCATAAGGACATGTCGCGCATGTGCGCCGCGCCGCGCATGGGGGCTGCCACCATGCACGGCGCACATGCACAGCAGCGCCCCCATGTGCGCGCACATGCACGGTGCTGCCCCATGCGCGACGCGGCGCACATGCGCGGTGCCGCCAGCTGAGGAACAAAAATGGCGGATCGCGTTGTTTGGCGACCCCCGTGAAATGGTCGTTCGACCCCAAATGGGATCGCGACCCACAGGTTGATAACCGCTGCCTTAGAACCTAATCATCGTTGGTGAACATTCATGTCCATTTTTCATCCCCCCCCCCCCCGTTTGCCTGGAGGAATATATAGCCCACTATTAGTTTGTTTGATCCTTAGTACTTTTCATTGTCGGAGGCTGTTTTAAGTGTTGAAAAAGACGAAAGGGTAGGTATAAATGCATTTTTTTAAAAAAAGTGGCAGAACTTTAGGGTGAGAATTATGCATTTCCAAGGTGGACAGTGTGGTATAGTGGCTAAGGTGCCCCTGTAGAAGCAAGGATCTACTCTCTATTTATTATTTTATTTACGTATTAAATTTATATGCTGTCATCTCCCTATCCAAAGGAACTCTGAGGGACTTTGAAGCAGTCCCCCCATTTCTCTTTCACCCCAGAACCAGTATGGTGAAATAGTGAAGGGGTTGAGCTAGAAGTAAGAAGATGCAGGTTGTAGACCGGGGTAGGGAATTATGGCCCCTTTATGACTTGTGGACTTCAACTCCCAGAATTCTTGAGTCAGCCAAGCTGGCTCAAGAATTCTGGGAGTTGAAGTCCACAAACTATAAAGGAGGCCACAGTGGCCCAGCTCTGTTCTAGACCAATCCTATGCCATGGTAACTCTCTAAATCCGGCACCATATTCTCAACTCAACCTATCTACTCCATAGGTGGAGTTGCAGGTGGAAAAAAAAAATCAGAGGAACAGTTCCGAAAGTTACCTGGAGCTTCTCAAGCCAAGGTAGTACCTGATTCTTAATTAAGTGACTTGGGTCTTTCCCCTTTCTCAGCGCCTGGAGCTTGCCATCTCTATCTTGCCAACCTCTGTGGAGCCCACCCAGATCAAGGAGATGTGGAATCGCCTTCGTTATTTAGACCACGTGGAATCCCTCAGCGAGCAGCTCCTTTTTCTGGAGGAGAAACTGGGAGACTGTGAGTATCGAAAAACCCTTGTTGTTGTTGTTATTGTTAATTGCGAAGTCGTGTCCGACCCATCGCAACCCCATAGACAATGTTCCTCCAGGCCTTCCTGTCCTCTACCATCTTCTGGAGTCCATTTAAGCTCACGCCTACTACTTCAGTGACTCCATTCAGCCACCTCATTCTCTGTCGTCCCCTTCTTCTATTGCCCTCAATCTTTCCCAGCATTAATAATAATAATAATAGTAAAGTTGGAAGGGACCTTGGAGGTCATCTAGTCGAACCCCCTGCTCAGGCAGGAAACCCTATACCATTTCGGACAAATGGCTGTCCAGTCTCTTCTTAAAAACCTCCAGTGTTGGAACATTCACCGCTTCTGGAGGCAGGTTGTTCCACTGGTTAATTGTTCTAACTGTCAGGAAGTTTCTCCTTAGTTCTAGGTTGCTTCTCTCCTTGCTTAGTTTCCACCCATTGCTTCTTGTCCTGCCTTCAGGCACCTTGGAAAATAGCTTGACTCCCTCTTCTTTGTGGCAGCCCCTGAGATATTGGAACACTGCTATCATGTCCCCTCTCGTCCTTCTCTTCATTAAACTAGACATACCCAATTCCAGCAACCGTCCCTTATATGCTTTAGCCTCCAGTCCCCTGATCATCTTTGTTGCTCTTCTCTGTACTCTTTCTAGAGTCTCAACATCTTTTTTACATCGCAGTGACCAAAAATGGATGCAGTATTCCAAGTGTGGCCTTACCAAGGCATTGAAAAGTGGTATTAATACTTCACGTGATCTTGATTCTATCCCTCTGTTAAAGCAGCCTAGCACTGCGTTGGCCTTTTTGGCAGCTGCAGCACACTGCTGGCTCATATTTAGATGATTGTCTACTAGGACTCCAAGAGGTCCCTCTCACAGTTACTATTATTGAGCATGGTGCCACCTATGCTGTACGTGTGCATTTGGTTTTTCTTGCCTAAATGTAGAACCTTGCTTTTTTCACCAGTGAATTTCATTTTGTTAGTTAGTGCCCAGTGTTCAAGTCTGTCCAGATCCTTCTGTATCTTAAGCCTGTCTTCTGGAGTGTTGGCTATTCCTGCCAGCTTGGTGTCGTCTGCAAATTTGATGATTTCCCCATCTATCCCCTCGTCCAAATCATTGATATAGATATTGAAGAGCACTGGGCCCAGAACAGAGCCCTGGGGCACCCCACAGGCCCTTCTCCAGTGAGTCCTTCCTTCTCATTAGGTGGCCAAAGTACTTGAGTTTCAACTTCAGGATCTGGCCTTCTAAAGAGCAGTCAGGGTTGATCTCCTCTAGGACTGACCGGTTTGAATGCCTTGCAGTCCAAGGGACTCACAGGAGTCTTCTCCAGCACCATAGTTCAAAGGCCTCAATTCTTTGTCGCTCAACCTTTCTTATGTTCCAACTTTCACATCCATACATTGCAACGGGAAAAACCCTACCCACAAATAATTACAGTCCTCGACTTAACAATCACTCGTTTAGTGACCATTCAAAGTTACAATGGCGCTGAAAAAAAAGAAAGAGAAGTCTTCAGATTTATCACCATTTGCAGTGTCCCCGTGACTCCCTGAGCAAAATTAGGGCACTCGGTAACCGTCATGTATTGAGGATGGCTGCAGCATATCGGGGGCACCTGACCGTCATTTCTGACTCTCCGGCTGGTTTCTGACAAAGTGAACGGGGGAAGCTGGATTCGTTTAATAGTGCAGTGACTTACTTAACGAGCAAAATAGGTCATAAAATTGAGCACGACTCGCTTAATGACTACCTTGCTTAGTGATGGTAGAACCAGTCCCGATTGTAGTTGTTAAGTCGAGGACCACCTACGTTAGCTGCCTTGTGGGTTGGCAATTTTGTGAGAGAATCCAAGCCTTAAACACACACAGTCCCTGGTTCAAGCCTTCCTACTTCCTGGTTTGGCTTCAGAAGGAAACTTACAATAATTCAGCTGATGTTAGACTCCCGACTCTCATTGCCTTGACCGTTGGTCCCAGGGCTAGCAATCCTAGGAGAGATAGACTGTTGTAAGTCGAGGACTACGTATACCAGACATGTCAAACACACGGCCCAGGGGCCGGATGTGGCCCGCAAAGTGTTTTCATGTGGCCCGCGAAGCCATCCTGGAAACAGTACGGGAACGGCCCCCCGCTGCCTTGGCCCTGGCTGGCCAGGAGCCAATGTACAATTTTGTGGTGGCCCTCTATGCTGAATCGCATTCAGTCTTAGCTCCATAAGCCCCCACCCCGCATGGCCTGAGAGGAACAGTGAGGCTGCTGCAGTGGACCATGCCTTGGTATTTGCCCCGTTCCTACCCCCTTCTGCCAGAGACCCTCAGATCTATCCCACTCCTGCCCAGGCCCCCATAGGCACCCTTGATGCAAACGATGTAGAGCTGGCCACACCCATCCAGTAGGCCACACCCACCCAGTAGGCTGCACCCACCCTGGCCACACCACCCAGCCCCCTGAGGGCAACCGCAATGCTGATGCGGCCCTCAATGAAATTGAGTTTGACACCCTGACGTATACTGCTATTACTAGCGGAAGACTCACCTGAGATTGTGTGGGTCAACCTGTCCTATCCAATTGCTCGCTTCACCTTAGATTGGCTGATGAAGGCAAGCATTTCATCTGCCTGGTGAAGTCCATTCTGGTTCATCAAAAGATTACTTACCTTTCAGAAACCACAGCTTTGAGTGGCTTTATTAAACAATTGGAGTCGTTTCACCACAGTACTGCGTTGATAGTAGCTCTGGTGTAGGCACAGCCCAGGAACAGATCAAATCCATCTCCAAAATGAAGCTAGGTTTGGTTTCATTAAGCTAGTATTTTCAGTTCCTAGGCCTCATTGTTTCCTTTTCTGTCCTTACACGTAGGTGCCTGTCAAAATGATAAAAATGGCTTTGGCTACGATCTCACCCGGTGATGCCCGAATCTTGGACTCAAAACTGGATCGGCAGAAAACCAGCCGTTATCTTTTTCCTCCTAACTCCACGCTGGTGCTCCTTGTCGTTCGAAGCTCAAATTAATTTCCTTTATTTATGCTAGTGGGCATGGCTTATTAATTGAAAACCAAGCACAGTGAACTGCAATTCTGCTGGATTAATTACAGAACAAAGGCTGCCTTCAAATCCTATCGAAACATCCAGATGGTCCCCCCCACCCCCCGTGACAGCCCGTGGTGTCCATCCAGAGTTAAGCCTTTTTGGCTGCTTTAGTGGGAGAAAGAAACATTGTTTTTAAAGACTTTGGCAAGTTTAAGCTCAGGATGGGATGGGAAATTTGGCGATTTGGTATATTCTACAAGCCCGGCTCCTTGGGTTCTGATGGAGCTCCAAAATGGATTCAAGAAACCAGGTTAAGCCAACAGAGTTTTGATACCTCTTTAATTTTTTTCTCCCCATTACATTTCCTTACTGAAAGGTACATGCCATTCACGTGAGGGATCCGTGCCTCTTTGTCATGTTTTTCAACTTCCTTTCTGGTGAGTTGTGTAAACAGACCACTTTGTGCTAACAGACCTCTGCCATCTTCAATCCTTTCCAGAAAGTAGGATTACAGTTCCCAAAAATCCCCAGCCAGCCTGCAGAAAGTTACTCCAAAGGAATTGCTTGTGTGCCTAAACTTCTTCTTTCGGTTTGAAAGGACTCAATTCTCGCGAAGATCTATCTTTTTTGCGTATTTTTATTTGGTTACTGAACACTGAATTTTAATCAGGAAGTTTCCCTGCTGTTCCTGTTCTTCCCAGTTACACTAGCATTCATCGATAGTAGTTTTTTAGACTTACTAAATCAAATTAAAAAAAAAAAAAGACCCAACAAGTCAATTGAATTATGATGGCAAACAACTTTTGAGTTGTGATGGGCTTGTTACCTTGGTGGGCTGTTTTTGTTCTACTTTAACTTGTTGTTTTTAACTCTTTTAAACTGCCTAAAGCCAAGTGTGGGTGAGCAGCCATAAAAAATGGAAATTAGAAATGCAAGTAAATAAATAAAATTGCTGGATTTAACAACGTAAGATTGCATGATAATTCATGTTATTATTAACCATAGAACTGTTATGGCTGGGTTTGTTGAGAATTCTTGAAGTTGTAGTCCTAATATTTAAACCACCAGATTAAAGCCTTTTTTAGAGAGTGACTTGCAACTGTTCTCTTCAGCTGCAGGCAATTGTCTTCTACATTATTGATTATCCTCAAGATGTACCTTTTTTAGAATAGAATAGAGCTGGAAAGGAACTTGGGAGGTCTTTTATTCCAGCCCGCTGTTCAAGCAGAAGAACCTATACCATCTCAGACAGGGAAGTGTCTAGTCTCTTCTTAAAAATCTCCAGTTATGGAGCGCCCACGATTTCTGGAGGCAAGCTGTTCCATTGGTTAATTGTCCTGTCAGGAAGTTTTGCCTTGATTTTAGGTTGCTTCTCTCTCTGTTCAGTTTCCAACTATTGTTTCTTGTCCTGCCCTCTGGTGCTTTGGTGAATAACATGACCCCCTCTTCTTTGTGGCAGCCCCTGAAGTACTGGAACACTGCTATCACATCTCCCCTATTTCTTCTTTTCTTTAGACTAGCCAGACCCAAGTCCTGCAGCGTTCTTTGCAATGCTTTTTTTCTAAAAAAAAAAAAAAAGTGCCGGAACTTACACGTCTTACAACCCGCCTTGCCTACCCCTATAAGGTTCCATCCAAAAAAGGTGCCGGAACTCCGTTCTGGGCGTTCTATGAGAAAAAAAGTCCTGGTTCTTAGTATGTTTCAGTCTCCAGGCCTTTCATCATCTTAGTTGCTCTTCTCTGAATTGTTTCCAAATTCTCAAATTTTTTTTTGTGATATGGTGACCAAAATTGGCTGCAGTATTCCAGGTGTGGTCTTATTAGAGTTTTATATAATATTAATACTTCACATGATCTTGATTCTATGCCTCTGTTTATATAACCCAGGATCATATTAGCTTTTTTAGCTGCTGCTGCTGCACACTGCTGGCTTTTGGTGTGTAACTCCCATAATCCAACAGGATGTCTTGGCTAACGCTGCATCTGGCACAAACATTGGTCACATATAGCATATAAACAGCCTAAGATAGAGGTTGTATTCACACAATATATTAAACCAGAAAGCACAGTTAACAAACCACAATAACTGCATTTGTGTTATGTGTTAAGTCCAATCAAGTGCATAATGCCCTGGCTATCTTAAAATCTCATGAAATTTACTTGATTTGGGCTTTTTCACTATAGTTTGCAAACTATGAGTTATGATATACTCAAGCAGTTCCCAAATTTTCTATATTTACATTACAAAGGTGGCATAGTGGTTAGAATGCAGTATTGCAGGCTAACTCCCACGACTACCAGCAGTTCGATCCTGACCAGCTCAAGGTTGACTCAGCCTTCCATCCTTCCAAGGTCGGTAAAATGAGGACCCAGATTGTTGAGGGCGATATGCTGACGCTGAGGAAACAAAACAGGACTCTAAAATTAGTATTTTTTTTCTAAATGTAATGACTGAATCTGGTAGGATCATCACATCTCAAGAGGTTTTAGTGTTCCAACCAAAATCTGGCAATTGTGGAAAGGTCTTGTGAGATTTTGGCCTCTTTCATTCATCTTTTTTATTTTAGTGCTCACCCTAGGACCATTTGCAATGTCTTTTCATGGATCATCAATGGTCCTCAAATCACAGATTTAGTTATACTAGCTATACTGCTCTTGGGCAGGGATGTTTTTTCCACCTCAACAAAAGGAATCTAGTGGAAAAAGATCACCTTCAATTAGGACAAAATCTCAGGAAGCCTTAGATCTGTTGAATCCAAATCATACCTTTCTTCAAAATAACTTGTTTGGAACATTCCAAGTTATGGATTGACCAACTGCAAGTGCCCCTGTATCATCGGATCATCCCAAGAAAAACACACACACACGTCTGATTTATTGTAGTTTGCTATCTGTTCCCAAAACTTAATTTAATTTTATTGTACTAAATTGTGTCTGACTGCAACTGCAATTGAGCTTGCAATTACGATTGTTAAGTTGTGATGGTCGTTAAGGAGGTTATCATGTGACCACACCCAATTTCATGACCTTGTTTTTGACAATTAAACGGAAATGCAGCAGTCGTTAAGCGAACACTGCGGTTGTTAAAACAAGCTCATTGTTCACCAGGGAGGAATTTTATTTTTATTTTTGGCCAGAAACTGGAAGTACACACCAGTTTTGAGATAAAAAAAACATTGTAAATAATAAGTCCTGTGGACTTCAACTCCCAGAATTCCCTGGCTGGGGAATTCTGGGATTTGACATTTACAAGACTTCTAAGCAGGGGTTCTCAACCTTGGCAACTTTTTAAGACTTGTGGACTTCAACTCCCAGAAATCCTCAGCCAGCTTTGCTGGGAGTTGAAGTCCACAAGTCTTAAAGTTGCCAAGGTTGAGAACCCCTGCGAGTCTAAAGAGCTCCTGACAGGGCAGACGTGATAGTGGACACACAAACACACACCTTGCCAATCAGCTACAAAGACTGAGGAAAAGACGAGCACGTGTGAGGGGGTATTAATTTTCGAGGGTTTTTATTAAAAGCAGGAAGGTCTTGGGAACACGGACTTGATAACATCTCTTCACTCTTCAGCCCTCCCCTCCCCAGATGGAAACTTTTTTTCTCCTCCCCCAAGAAGGGGCGTCTGGAAAGAAAGCCCCCCTGGGCTCACCCACCATCCGAGAGAGAGGACACAAACCATCATGGAAAATCCGAAGGCAGAAGAGTAGTACACGGAATATTTCAAGGAACTGCAAAGCTCACCACCCACCCACAAAATCAGTCTAGCCGTCCCTGATTCAGTACCTCTTTATCTCTCGTCCGGAAGGGGCAACAATTTCCTCTTCTTCCTGGTTTCCTCTCCTCCTCGACGTCGCAAACACCCTCCCCACTTGCTCTCAGGATGCCAATGCCCCCCCTCAAGCTTTATCAGATATGCAGGAGGCACCCCCCCTCCGTGTTAATTCCATCCCATCCCATAATACCTGGCCCAGAGGCCCCTGCCTGAGGCCGGAACCCCCCCCCTGCTTTTTGCAACCCTCGCTGCTTAATTTGGCCTGGGGACAAGCCCTGCCTGCTCACCCTGCCCTTCCCCTCCCCTCCCCACTCAAGGCTTCCTGCCCTTTCCATTGGGACTCAGAGAGGAGACGGATGCCAGCTCCCCTTCCTTGCAACTTTCCATCTGGCGAACTGATCCAGCTCTCCGGATTTCCCTTGGAGAGGAGGGTTTAAGGTGTTCTCCCAACACTGAAGGGGGGGGGGGAAACAGCCCTTCCAAGCATGGCAGGCAAGCAACCGGAGTCCCCACATCCTGCTCTCTGCCCGTTCCCCACCCAAATCCATCCTTTTTCCTCCCCTCTACATCTTTCCACCCAAACCCACAAACAACCAAGTGGATCTCACTCTACTTTGTCTCCTAGAAGATCCCTTTGGAGGGAGATGCCCCTTCCTTTCTCCTTCCCTTCCCCTCCCTGGAAGGAAATAGTCCGGTCCATGATTGGGACTGAGTCAGGCTGAGCAGCCCAGGCCCTTTGCTATTGTTCTGATGGGTTGGTTAGCATTTCCTCCCCGGAGTGGCTCCTTCTCTCTTTCTCCTTCCCCAGGAGATGGCGGGTCCAGAGTTCTCAGCACACAGAGGCCCCACCAACAGCTGGGGCATCGCCAGCCCACGGCATTGCTCTGAGTTTGAAATTCACCAAAATTCCCCTGGTGGTCCTCGAAACAAGCCAGGGTAAACCTGGTCCGTGGCTCCCTCTGCAGGCTCCCAGGGGTGGCTCAGTTGCTGTGGGGTCCGTGGTTCAGTCCGGAAAAAAAACTTCCCGGAATGGGGAGCACGCACTGGCCAAGTCCAAGAAACTTAAATGGAACAGTCCACATGAACAAAACGGGGGGGGGGGAGCAAGGAGGAGACGGAGGCTGGGATAGGATTGTACCATCTACCGGGGGAGTCAGAACACTGGTCCAGAAGTGAAGAGGGCAATGAGGGTGGCTGGGATCAACTCCACTCCCAGGTCTCCTTGCACATGCGGCTGAAGCCAGCCCCCTCCCCACCCATGTCAAGCCCCCCTCCTTTGCTGCAAGGTGCCGTGCCCATCACTCCTCTGCCAGAACCGGTTCCGAGTCCTCTTCCCCCCCTCCCCTCCGAGCGCTGCCCTCTTCTGTCTTGGTCCCGTTATCTTCAGGTTGATGGCCTGTGGGTGCCAGCTCCTCCCAGTCGCACCCCGCAGTGCTCCTGGGCCAGACCTTGGGGGGAAGCGGCGGTGGAGGTCACTGCGGGGAACCCAGCTCTGCGGAAAGCCCCTCAAAAGCGACCAACATGGCTTGGCGCACCCGATCCGTCAGGGCCGGCACGTCGTCGGCTCGCAGCCCCTTTGTGGGCACGGAGGACAAGATCTGGACAATGCAGCGTCCTACGTGAGGAGAAAAAGACAGGGCTTTTGAAAAAAGCAAGGTAACTAGAAGGCCCCACCAGAGTGTAAGCGAAGGCATTTCCCACTTCAGCAAATCCGTAAAGAGGGACATGTAGTCCACGGGTGGAGAACTATGGCCCCATTGTGACTTGTGAACTTCAATTCCCAGAATTCCTGTCATTGTAACTTTGAATGGTGATTAAACAAATGGTTGTAAGTCAAGGACTACATCAGTGGGGGAGACCTATGCTCCCATTATGACTTGGGACTTTTAATTCCCAGAATTCCTGAGCCAGGAAGTCCCAAATCATAACGGGGCCATAGTTCTCCACCTCTGTTATAGTCCTTGACTTACAACCACTCATTTAATCACCATTCGAAGTTACATATAAGGAACGGTTGCTAGAATTGGGTATGTCTAGTTTAACGAAGAGAAGGACAAGGGGGGACATGATAGCAGTATTCCAATATCTCAGGGGCTGCAACAAAGAAGAGGGAGTCAAGCTATTCTCCAAAGCGCCTGAAGGCAGGACAAGAAGCAACAGGTGGAAACTAATCAAGGAGAGAAGCGACCTAGAACTAAGGAGAAATTTCCTGAAAGTTAGAACAATCAACCAGTGGAACAGCCTGCCTCCAGAAGCAGTAAATGCTCCAACACTGGAAGTTTTTAAGAAGAGACTGGACAGCCATTTGTCCGAAATGGTGTAGGGTTTCCTGCCTGAGCAGGGGGTTGGACTAGATGATCTCCAAGGTCCCTTCCAACTTTACTACTATTATTATTATAAAAAAAGCAACTTATGACTGTTTTTCACACTTATGACTACCGCAGCATGGTCACCTGATCAAAATTTGGACACTTGACAACCGACTCATATTTATGACGGCTGCAGTGACCTGGAGGGGTCATGTGATCCCCTTTTGCAGCCTCCTGACAAGCAAAGCCAATGGGGGAGCCAGATTCACCTAACCCTGTTACTAACTTAACTACTGCAGCAATTCGCTTAACGACCTTGGCAAGAAAGGTTGTAAAACGGGGCAAAACTCACTTAACAAAGACTCGCTTAAGCAACAGAAATTTGGGGCTCAATTGTGATTGCAAACTGAGGACTACCTCTCTCTTTTGACAAACCGAATTGTTAACTGACCAAGTTTGGTTTTTTTTACTTGTCACATTTAGATTATTTTTAAAGGTTTCCTGGAATCCTTGAGAAGCAGCTGGATTAGAAAGGTCACAGACAGTCCAAATAAATCTTCATTATTATTTTGTTTTAAGCTTCACTGAATCGCCTTCTCTTTCTAGAGCAGTGGTTCTCAACCTTTTTAATGCCGCGACCCCCAACCGGTCGTAAGTCGAGGACTACTCAACCGGTCGTAAGTCGAGGACTACTCAACTGGTGCAGCACCGTTTGCAGAATGGGACTTTTGGCGGGCTCAGCAGGGCAGAGACAGCCTGGACATTTTGAAAGCCAATAGAATTAGACTTTATTCAAGAGAGTCTATTCTATTGGCTTTCAAAAGCCAATAGAATAAAAGGGAGTAGCACAGCTAAGGAAAAGGGGGAAAAATGGCAGACTGCGTTGTTTGGCGACCCCCGTGAAATGGTCGTTCGACCCCAAATGGGGTCCCGACCCACAGGTTGAGAACCCCTGTTCTAGAGAAATTCTGGGCTCAACTGTGATCATTAAGCCGAGGACTACCTGTGTAGTCTCCATTATGCCTGTGGGTATGATAACATTGGGGTAAAAGCCACGATGGAAAGTACCAGAAAATAGCCCAGGTTCATTGGTATCAGTGGGAGGTCTTTCTGCTCCCCACAAACGAATGAACAAACAAGAAATTAGAAATGGAATTACCTGTAGTGAAACGCCTATCCTTCTTACTGTAGAAATCTCTATACGATGAGATTACAACAGGGATGAGAGGAACCTTGTGAGAAGAGAGAAGAAAGTAAACAGAGAGGGCGGTAAGCTGCTGGAAATTGCTCAATATATGTCAACCTTTTTGCCCCTGAAACAGAGGCTGGGCTGGGTCTAGCCACCGCCAGCTGCCATTAAAGGCGGAAAACCACCTCCAAATCACTTTGTATTTTTAATGCGCATCCAGGAAAATATTTCTAAAGACATTGTCTCTGCCTACCCATTTTGCACAGGGTTCAAGCCGCTTGTTTTATTGCTCAGCTGTAAACACATTTGTAACACAGGTTATTTCAATAGATCTCGGGGTGTGATGCAACTGTTTAAAAAAAACAAAACAATGCTTAAGTTCCTGTATTTTTGTTTTTTTAAAGGAAGGCGGTGGAGACAGAGCTTTTTTTCTTCATTCTGTATCTAATTGAAAGCAAAACTCTCTTTTATATTACGCGCAGTTGTTTTTTAATTTTAAACAAGCATTATCAGATCAAACAAATCTGCTTTGGACTCCTTGAATGAAATGAAATGGTCTGCAAGCAAACAGTCAAGCTCAGAGAGCATCACAGTTCCAACTCTGAGTTACAAATATTCTCTTCTGTCGGTACCACACAGGAGTGTCAAACGCTTCGCAAATCTGCTTCATCCAATTTATTTTAGCTCTGATAAAAACGGGAAGAATGTAGGGTGCGAAAACCCTCCTTTCCTAGGTAACAGTAAGGCTTTTTTACTCTGTGTTGTCATCTGCTACCGTCTGCCACTGTCTTTTAGGAAGTATCTACTCCCTTTTCAGCTCATCTGGGAATTTCAGCTCTGGAGAACTTAAGTTTGCATTCAGGGTAATTTTTTTTTTTTTTACAATGATGATTAAAATTCTCCCCACGCTAAGAATTTCAAAAACCATTTATTTTACTTGTTCTTCCTCCATCTTTAAATTTAACAGGAAAGGAACTAAGAAAAAAATCAAGATGGTCCTTGAATAAATCTATATGGAAAGAAAAAGAATTCTTACAACGAGCGACAAAGGAAATGGAATTTTTCTTCAAAATAAACAAGAAAGAAGAAACATTGCTTCAAAATGTGTGGGGCACGGCTAAAGCATATTTCAAAAACCATTTCTCTGGTGGGCTTCTAATGGCAGGGACGTTCTTCTCTGTAGGACCCCCCCCCCAAATGAAGACAAATTTCCACCTTGTTGCAAAGTCACACACTCACACACCACACACATAGACATAGAAGAGTCGCGGTTATCTAAACCCTCAGTTCCTGCTCTGAGCTTGCAAAAGCCTGACTAACCAGGATAATCAGTGCAATGGTCGGGCCACAGGAGAGGCCTAACTGGGTTAAACCAGTGGTTCTTAACCTGGGCGATATTGCCCCCCAGGGGGCGATTTCATTTTTCAGGGGGGCGATGGAACGAACAGGGGGCGATATGGGGGCGATGGAGCGAGAAGTTTTGGGGACACTTGAGACTTTTTCATACAGTGAATGGCTGTATATCTGTCGTACAAAAACATCAGATCGCTCGCTATTAGTGGATTGAATTGTGTTTTCAAATGTTCCTCCAGCTAGCTTCAGTACAGAACGCCGTACATATGTGAAGACGCATCGTTTATCTTCATGCGTGTTGTGCAGCAGCCTCTACCCATAAAGTGGCGCACCATTAGCCAGAATACAGGGGAAAGACTGGAAATAAATTATTTGCATCGATATGTCCTGATGAACAATTTTAAAGAAAACAAAAAAAGTGTTTGCATAAATTGAAGAATTATTTCCCATGTTGTGATTGAGAGGTTATGTTGGGGGAGGGGGGCGATGACAACTTCCTCATTGGCTCAAGGGGGCGATTCGTTCAAAAAAGGTTAGGAACCACTGGGTTAAACCAAATACAAGATAATCAAACACAGTGGTTGTGTTGGCATAATATATAACAGTCCAAAAGGCTCCGTGGGATAGTCTGGTTCATATCATGGGCTCCAATAGCAATGAAGCCCAACCCCCCCCCCAATATTTTAGCCTTGCTGCCAGCCATCCTTTTGGGGGAGGGGGAGAAAAGGTGAGTCCACAGGGCACCCCTTACCTGGGTTTGCACCGCCAAGTGGAAGGCGCCCCGTTTGAAGGGCAGCATGGAGCCGTTGTGATTCCTGGTACCCTCGGGGAACACCCAGACCCGAACCTGCAAAGGGAGCCCAAGGACAGGAAGAACTGAGTTCCTTCCATCGAAGATCTCTGGCTTCGCATGAAGACGCACAAGGGTTAAGCAAAGAGTCCCGTGAGAAAAGGGTGTTTTGGGAGTGGGTCCCGTCAGCCGCTCGAGGTAGTCCAGTCAAGAACCGCCAACCATGAGTACTAACGCCACCCTTATTGTAAGGTTACAGCAGTGTTTCTCAACCTTGACCATTTTAAGGCATGTGGACTTCAACTCCCAGAATTCCACAGCCAGCAATGCTGGCTGTGGAATTCTGGGAGTTGAAGTCCACATGCCTTTAAATGGTCAAGGTTGAGAAACACTGGGTTACAGTGACACAGTCTTGCAAGCTCTCTCCCCTCCCTTCCTTTTACTCTTGTGAAAACCAGAGACGGCCCCTTCTGGGATACTTTTCTCCATCCTCGCTCTTCCTTCAGACTCAGCTTGCATTTATCAGACCATCGACTAGGCCAGGGGTGCCCAACCCCCAGTCCGTGGACTGGCACCAGCCCATGGCATGCCAGAGACCGGGCCACACAAACAAGCGAAGCCCCATCTAAGGCAGAGCTCCCCAACCATGTGGGCACCAGGGACAGGGTTCACGCAGAAAGGTTTTTCCACAGACTGGAGAGTGTGTGGTTTTGCGTGTTGCCTGCATCCTACGGATGGGGCTTTGCTTTTTCTGCACACCGGTTGCTGGCATGCCACGGACCGGGGGTTGGCGACCCCCGATCTAAGGGATGCAGGCAGCACACGAACCTTCTCTCCACAGAACCGGTCCCTGGTGCCTGAAAGATTGGGGGCTGCCGGACTAGGCCGCAGCTTTCTTCCACTAGTCTCCCAAGGTCATTCTCACAGACCATTATAGCGACAGGTAGTCCTCGATTTACGACCGCAACTGAGCCCACAATTTGTGTTGCCGAGACAGTTGTTAAGCAACTCCATTTTGGGCTCCACTTTTGGCGACCCATCTTGCCACCTTTAACTGAATCACTGCAGTTGTTCAGTTAGCAACAACAGTTGTAAAGTGAATCTAAACCATTAGTTTAGTAACTATTCGAAGTTACAATGGCAATGAAAAAAGTGACCTATGACCATTTTTCACACTTCCAACCATTGTGGCATCCCTCACGGTCAAGTGATCAAAATTCAGATGCTTGGCAACTGACTCATATTTATGACGGTTGCAGTGCACCGGGGTCATGTTGTCACCGATTGGAACCTTCTGACAAGCAAAGTCCATTTTTATTTATTTATGCGGTGTATGGCATTTATAGAGATCATGCAATCTTTGATATATAAATGTAGTTTAATTAAAGCATCAATAAAAGTGTCAAATTAAGATAAGAATCAAAATATGGGGCTACAGAACTGCAATGGGATAGATGTTATAAGGAAACTAACCATCTAGCTCAGGGTCTTCAAACTTGGCCCTTTTATGACTTGTGGACTTCAACTCCCAGAATTCCTCAGCTAGCGTCCCTAGCTGAGGAATTCTGGGAGTTGAAAACCCCAAGTCATAAAAGGGCCAAGTTTGAAGACCCCTGATCTAACTGCTTCTGGTGTAGCTGAGGTGAGATCATCACAGATGCCTTGAAATTTCCTGAGGGGATATTCTTGAACTATATGTGCTATAGTTTGTTGCCATGCTCCACAGTTGCATTGCGGGCTCTTGGCCAATAAGGAAACCAGATTCACTCAACAACTGTGTTACTAACTCAACCACTGCAGTTTGTTTTACAACTGTGGCAGGAAAGGTCGTAAAATGGGGCAAAATTCACTTAACAACTGTCTCGCATAGCAACAGACATTTGGGGCTTAATGGGGGTCATAAATCAAGGACTCCTTGTATGATACTCCACAGAAGAGAAGACTGAAGGGACATACTGTAGCAGACTTCACGTACTTGAAGAGGTCAAATGGAGGACAGAACAAATGGTTGAAACCCCTGAGGAACACATTAAGCTTAGGTTTTTTGGGGGGAAGAATGTCCCGAGATATGGAATTATCAAGCAGCAGAATCAGTTGCTTGTGATGGGGTATGGCCTCTTTCACTGGAGGTCCGGATAGCAATTGTCTGACATGTTTCAGTAGATTCTGCACCAAGCAGGGGACTGGCCTGGGTGAGTGGGTACCTGGCTCAATAGTAGTAACTGTGAGAGGAATCTCGGAGTCCTAGTGGACAATCACTTAAATATGAGCCAGCAGTGTGCTGCAGCTGCCAAAAAAGCCAACACAGTGCTAGGCTGCATTAACAGAGGGATAGAATCAAGATCACGTGAAGTATGAATACCACTTTACAATGCCTTGGTAAGGCCACACTTGGAATACTGCATCCAGTTTTGGTCACCACAATGTAAAAAAGATGTTGAGACTCTAGAAAGAGTACAGAGAAGAGCAACAAAGATGATTAGGGGACTGGAGGCTAAAACATATAAGGAACGGTGCTGGAATTGGGTATGTCTAGACAGGGTTCTCAACTATGGGTCGGGACCCCATTTGGGTCGAACCGACATTTCAACGGGGGTCGCCAAACAACACAGTGCGCCATTTTCCCCCCCTATTCCTTAGCTGTGCACTCCCTTTTTTCTATTGTGTTTGAAAGCACAAAGATAGGACTCTCTTGAATAGAGTCTAATTCTATTGGCTTTCAAAAGCAATAGGAATTGTCCAGGCTATCTTATGCCCCTGCTGAGCCTGCCAAAAGGTCCCATTCTTGCAAAACGGTTGCTTGCACCAGTTGAGTAGTCCTCGACTTATGACCGGTTGGGGGTCGCGGCATTAAAAAGGTTGAGAACCACTGGTCTAGTCTAATGAAGAGAAGGTCGAGGGGGGACATGATAGCAGTGTTCCAATATCTCAGGGGCTGCCACAAAGAAGAGGGAGTCAAGCTATTCTCCAAGGCACCTGAGGGCAGGGCAAGAAGCAACGGATGGAAACTAATCAAGGAGAGACGTAAAATAGAACTAAGGAGAAATTTGCTGACAGAACAATTAATCAGTGGAACAACCGGTGAATGCTCCAACACTGGAAATCTTTAAGAGACTGGACAGCCATTTGTCTGAAATGGTATAGTGTTTCCTGCCTGAGCAGGGGGTTGGACTAGATGACCTCCAAGGTCCCTTCCAACTCTGTTATTCTGTTACTTCTGAGGTCTTGTCCAATTCTGTTTCCATGAATTATGCAACGAACATTTGGCCGCAAGTAAACAGGCAGTACAGAAACACAACCCAGTTTCCCAAAATAGCCCGTCCTGTGAAAAGAGACCTTCCGTCAGAAGTTGCTGCCTCATTGCAATGACTAATGGCAGAAATTAAGCCATTCGTAGAGTCAGCCTTGAGGTTTCCAGCCAATATAGGTAGTCCTCGACGTACGACCCCAATTGAGCTCAAAATTTCTGTTGCTAAGGGAGATATTTGTTAAGTGAATTTCGCCCCATCTTACAATCTCTCTTCCCACCGTTGTTAAGTGAATTGATGCAGCTCTTCAGTTAGCCATAAGGCTGTTAAGTGAATTTGGCTTCCCTCATTGGCTTTGCCTGTCAGAAGATTACAAAATGTGATCACAGGACTTCGGGACACAGCAACGGCCACATGGGGATGCTGCAACGGTCCTTAAGTATGAAAAACGGTAGTAAGTCACTTTTTTCAGGGGCCTTGTAACTTCGAACAATCACTGAACGAACTGTTGTATGTCGAGGATTACCTGTATTCAGCCTGAAACTGACTGGGATCTGCTCAACAAAACAGTCCACAGAGGTGTAATCTGGTATTTCTCAACCTTGGCCATTTTAAGATGGGCGGACTTCAACTCCCAGAATGCCCCAGCCAGCAAGGGGAACTATATCTGACTTTTCCCTCAGGAACTCAAGCCAGGTTACATGGGAATCTTATTTCCTTTTGACGACACCCCTGTGGGGTAGGCAGAAAGACTGAGGGTAGACTAGAAGCTGGTCTGAGTCTAATCCAGCATTTCACTGCTATCCCACATTGGCTGTGGGGCTGAAAGGGAAGGACTGGCCTAAAATCCACCAGTTGTGGCCAGGGGGTGTTGGGGGGAGGCATCGTTTTAACATATTCACTACAGGTAGTTCTCATTCTATGACCACAGTGGAGTCCAAAATTTCCTTTGCTGAGTGAGACAGTTAAGAGAGCTTTCCCCCATTTTTATAGCCTTGATTGCCACAGTTGTTAAGTGACTCACTGCCGTTGTTAGTAGCAGTTGTAATGTGAATCTGGCTGCTCCAATGATGGCAAACCTTTTAGAGACTGAGTGCCCAAACTGCAACCCAAAACCCACTTATGCATCGTTGGGTGCCGGGTGGATGTGGCCCACTGGCTGAGTGTGGCCCATTGGCTGGGCACGGCTGCAGTGGTAACGGCAGACTGGGTGGGACTAAAAAGTTCAATCAATCAATTCCAACTTTGCAAGATCTTTTTTTTCCCGCGCAAAGTTGAGATTGATTGAACTTTTTTTTTTTTGCACATGGCAGCGGGGGCCTAAAGCGAAAAGGTTTTATAAAACCCAGCTGAAGGCCTAGGACTGGGGCGACGGCACGCGTGCCCACAGAGAGGACTCTGAGTGCCACCTCTGGCACCCATACCATAGGTTTGCCATCACTGGGCTGCTCTATTGACTTTGCTTATCAGAAGGTCAAAAAAGGTGATCACACAACTCGGGGACATTGCAACCATCATAAATATGAACCAGCTGCCAAGTGTCCAGATTTTGTCATGTGGCCCACGAAATGCAGCGATGGTTGTAAGGGTGAAAAATGTCCATAAGTCAGTTTTTTTTTTCCAGTGCCATTGTAACTTTGAACAGTCACTAAACCAACGGTTGTAAGCTGAAGACTATCTGTACGTAAAACACACTTGGTAATTCACACTTTCCATGGGGGGGGGGAACCCAAGTCAAACCTTATGTGGCAAAAGTGTCTCAAATTCAGTTTCAGAATAGAACTGGAAGGGACCTTGGAGGTCTTCTAGTCTAGCCCCCTACTCAAGCAGGAGAACCTATACCATTCCAGACAAGTGATTGTCCAGTCTCTTCTCAAAAGCCTCCAGTGATGGACCACTCACAACTTCTGGAGGCAAGCTGTTCCACTGGTTAATTGTCCTCACTGTCAGGAAGTTTCTCCTTAATTCCAAGTTGCTTCTCTCCTTGATTAATTTCTATCCATTGCTTCTTGTCCTTCCCTCTGGAGCTTTGGAAAATAAGTTGACCCCCTCCTTCTTTGTGGTAGACCTTCAAATACTGGAATACTGCTATCATGTCCCTCCTAGTTCTTCTTTTCTTTAGACTGGCCGTACCCAATTCCTGCAACAGTTCTTCATATGTTTTATCCAGGCCTTTAATCATCTTAGTTGCTCTTCTCTGCCCTTTCTCCAATCTCTCCTTTCCTACTCCTCCATCTTTCAATCTCGATTCACCACACTCAGTG